CTGGATTAATTTAACATCTAGTTAAAACAAGGAGAAAAAATGCCATGTCACAGGAGATCCAATCATTCCACCAAAGGTTTTAATTTGTGAGTATACTCTGAACCCTGAATTCTTCTCGCTCTGCCAGGGTAGACCTAGAAAGGGAGGAAGGGAAGAAGGGAGAAGAGGTGGTTTGGGCGTGAGTGTTGAGTGGGCAGGATGGTGACGAAGGAAAGGCCAGAAGGAAAGTTTCTCTCCAGTTTTGCTATGAGGCCAGTTGGGAGCTGGTTGTAAAAACAAGCTTTGGGGTGTTGAAACATTTCCAACCGCGGGAAGTCACAATCCATGCCCTCAGAACAAAATGTTCTCTCCGAGCTCTGCCGCTGACCCTCCCCCAGGAAGAGGGGATGGACCTGAATTTCTAGGCTGCCTTTTCAATGCAAGGGACTGAGGAGAGGTTAGAACCAGAAACAGCTAGTGGCTCTCTGTCCCACCAAACTCTAATTTCACTTCTCCATGAACCCTCGCTGTCTGGGGAGCAGGCAGGTGGCAGAAGCGGTGACGGATCTCAAGAGCTACATTTGCAAGCTGCTGCCCTAGAGGCCATGACTCAATTTACCTCTGTGCCAAAGAAGCCCAACCATTTATTTATTTATTTATTTATTTAATGAATCACTGTGAGATACAGTTACAGACTTACAAAATTTCATGATTACGTTTCAATCAAACAATGATTGAGTACCCATCCCTCCACCAGTGCCCATTCTCCACCACCAATGTTCCCAGTGTCCCTCATGCCATCCCCACCTCTTCCCTCCCCTTGCCTTTATGGCAGACACATTCCCTATTTCGCTCTCTTTCCTTTTGGATGTTACGGTTTGCAATATAGGCACTAAGCTGCCATCATTTTTGGTCCAAAGTCTACTTTCAGCACACATCTGCCGTCCCAAGCAATCCCTCCAACCATCATTTACTTGGTGGTCTCTTCTCTATCCCACCTGCCTTTTCCCCCAACACAGGAGATCAGCTTCCATGCTGTGGGGCAATCCTCCTGGCCCTTATCTCTACTATCCTTAGGTGTTATTCTCCCATGTTACATAAAGTTTATGGGCGCAGTCATTCTGTGTCTGTCCCGCTCTTTCTGACTCATTTCGCTTAGCATGTTACTCTCCATGTTGATCCACTTATATGCAAATTTCATGGTTTCATCTTTTCTAACAGCTGCATAGTATTCCATTGTGTAGATATACCAAAGTTTCTTTAACCAATCCTCTGTTCACAGGCACTTGGGTTTTTTCCAGATTCTGGCTATTGTAAATAATGCTAACCACATGTATTTTTATAAAGGAAAAGACATATTTGTGTCTCCAGAAATGGAGCCTGTGCTTCCAGGATAGAAAAATGCCAATAATTTTTCTATTAATTCTTCTATCACTTTGCCAATGCAAATCACTGAACCCCAAGAGATAGGACAGTGGGTAGGGTGATTGTCTTGCATACAACTGACCTGGGTTTGATTCCCAGTACCGCATAGGGTCCCCCAAGCCCCACCCTAAGTGATCCCTGAGCCCAGGGCCAGGAGTAAACTCTGAGAACTTCTGGGTGTGGCTAAAAAGAAAAGAAAAATGTGATCTGGCATTTTGGAGGTGGGAGAGTAGCACATCTGGCAGGACTTGGGGGATCATTCCTAGCAGTGTTCAGGGGTAACTTGCTGTGACAGGGATCGAACCTAGGGCTCCTGCAGGCAAAGTCTTGCCCAAATGATTCGGCATTTTGGTGGGGAAGGAAGGGGAGCCATAGCTGAGGGGCTCAGCTGGGGCCAAGGAGCTTTCAAGGTGGGAGGCGGGAAACAGCCCCAAGCTGTGGTCCCAGCTGCTGAAGCACATTTAGGGGTCCTGCCCCGTCTGGCTGTTTCTCTTTGGGGGGCCTCCCAGACAGTACTCAGGGGGGCTTGGGACCACTTATAAGCAGGACTCAAGGTCAAATGCTTGGCACAGGCACTGTGGCGGTCTCCAGGGTGACCCCAGGGATACTGGTAGGGGAAGCATTTGGTATTGGCTCTGGTGCCTGCAAGGCACATACCCCTGTCCCTGGGGGCTTCTCTGCCCCCTCCCCCTGCCCCTTTGACTTTTCTTCCCCCTCCAGGCCATGCTAGGCTAAGCTAGCAACTAGTGCCCTCCCCTGGGTCCCTGATCTATGGGGAGGGCCAGGAGTACTCTGCTTCTCCTGCGTCCCTGAATCCAACAACACACACTTTCCTCCTGCAGACTCTGTTGTCATCGCTTTCTGGGTGGGCCTGGCGGCCTTCGTGCTCTTCCTCTTCCTCATCCTGCTCTACATGTCCTGGCCGGGCTCCCCGCAGGCGCGGTAAGTGGGGTGTCCTGGGGCAGGGGTGGGGGGAGCTTATGGTATGGCTGGGAGTGGTGTGTGTGTGTGTGTGTGTGTGTGTGTGTGTGTGTGTGTGTGTGTATGATGGGGATTCTTGCAGTGGGATGCACTGGGCCCAGGGGGAAGCGTTGGTTTCTGCAGGATGAACAGGCCAGTGTGGAGTTCAGAGCTGGCACAGATGCACTGGGCCAGATGCAGGGGGTGGGATGGAGGCACAAGTGTGTGTGGGGGGGCTGGTTGGAGGCAGGGGCCGGGATGCAGGGGGTGGGATGGAGGCAGGGGATGGATGGAGGGGGCAGGATGGAGGCACCAGGTGGGATGCAGGGGGAAGGATGGATGCAGGGAGCGAGACACAGGGGGCGGGATGCTCCGGGCCACAGCCAAAGGTCCCTTGGCTGAGTTGACAGGCACCACAGCAGAGCTGCCTGGCTTTTGTTGGGGGTGGGGTGAGGGTATCTTCCTAGGAATGGGGCTGCTTTGGGGGTGATGGCTGCCCAACTCCGTGAACAGACTGAAGATCCTGGACACACAGAGTTTTGCTTTGGGGACCTCTTTGGGGAGCTTCCCTGCCAGGGGCTACACTCAGGCGTGTGGTTTGGGTGGGGGGGCTTGTGCTCCAGCCCTCTGAGCTGTCTCCCCGCATGAATGCTCTTATCTTTTTATGATTAAGTGATTATTTGAGGGGGGAAGCCAAAAAGTTTTTAGTAAAAGAAATCATGTCACATTCAAGAGAACACAGGCTCACAAAGGCTGATATTCACATTTTATTTTGAGGTATTTTCTTGGGGGTGGGCACACCCAGTGGTGTTCAGGGCTGACTCCTGGTGAGGCTCAGGGGACCATATGGGGTGCTGGGGGTTGAACCTTGGTCAGTCGCCTGCAAGGCAAACACCCCACCCCTATACTATCGCTCCAGCCCTGATTGTCACATTTTAAATGAACAAGCTTCAAGCAGGAAGCTCTCTGCTTCCATGAGCCTGTGGGTACCTGGGATCCCAGGGGTCCTACAGGGTCACAGTTACAGAACTCTGTGATGAGCGATGGGGCAGGACTGGCGGTGAGACTCGTTAAACAGTGCTCTCCGGGCCCCTGTACTGGAAAACTGAGAGAAGCCGAAGAGGCTTCTGAACAACACAGAAAAAAGGGAGATTTGACTATTTTATTTCAAGTGTGGAGTGGGGAAGTGTACACCTCCACGCTGGCCTGTCTCAATCAGTGGGTTAGGTTTTGGCTTTGGTGGTGGTGGTGGGGGGGGGGGGGCGGTGCAGGGGAGTCACGTGGTGCCGTTTGCCCCTGGGCACCCCTTTGACACTCTATCTGCTCTGTCCACAGAGGCCATGCCCATGCCCAGCGTCCCAACACCTGCCCCTGGGCCCAGGGCCTCCATCTCCCTTTCTGTCTCCGGAGGCAGCGGCCCCAAGGGACCCCCCAGACCCCAGCCAGCTCCATTTAGGAAGGGGGCAGCATTGGAGGATTGTCTGGTCCCGAGGAGGGCTGGCGGGGGCCAGCGAGCCCTGCCCACGTCCCTCCCCCCACAATCCCCCCTCTAGGAGTTGGTCTTGGACTGGAACCCCCACGGCGTCGGATGACATCCGGAGAGTGCCCAGCACCTGAGGGCAGGTGCGACTGACCTGGGCAGACTCATGTGTTCCAGGGTGAACCGCCAGTGACCTTGAACCCCTGGGACAACCCCCAGTCTGCTGAGGGCGGCCCAGTCTGGCTGACCCCACAGCGATGCCTTGGGATGGACACCCAGTGACCACTGGACTTGCAGCTTTGCTGCTTTCAGCAGGGTGGGGAAATAAACATCAATGACAGAAGTGTCTCTGCAGGCTCGTGAGTTTCAACGGTTCCTTCTCTAACTCTGCGTGGGGGTGGTGGGGCGTAGGGGGTATATTCCTGGAAGTGTTGGGGAGACAGTGCGGAGCTGGGGAACCAAACCCAGGATGCCCCCACGCAAAGCCCGTGTTCCAGTCCTCGGAACGAGCTCCAGATTTCACCTGTGAGATCCCCCCGTGGATGCAGCCGTCTGAAGGCCAAAGCAGGCCTTGGAAATGGAAACAGGCCCTCAACATCAAGTAAGCAAAAGGCCGAAAAGAGAGGACACTGAGAAACTTACCCAAAATAGACATTTATTCACAAGTTAAGAACCTCCCAATCCCCCTGGCCACCCAACTGGTTCCTCAGGCTGCTCCCCACCGGCTGAGGCTGCAGGGGCCAGGGGCCAGACATTGGGGGGGGGGGGGGGGGCGTGCGCCTTGGCTTTTGCAGGACAGGGCCATGTTTTGATCAGGGCACTCAGTCTCACGTGGCTCTGTCTGTCCTGGGCTCACACTTCCCAGTGGCACCACCTCTGCTTGGTTCATGTTTTAGTTTGGGTCACGCCCAACAGGGCTTGGCGCTGACTCCTGGCTCTGTGCTCACTTCTAGTGGGGCTTGGGTGAACCCTATTGGGTGTCGGGGATGGAACTCGGGTCAACTGTGTACAAGACAAGCTTCCTACCTGCTGTACTGCTGCTCCAGCACCTGCCTCAACCATTTTAAGGTGTGGTGCTCACCAGGGCCTGCATCCCCTCCACCGGGGGGTGGGGGGGCCCTGGAGGGGGGAAGTGTGTGTGTGTGTGTGTGTGTGATATGGAGCTGCCGTGATCTCGTGCTCAGTGCACATAGTGGCCCCAGGGATCAAACTCCTGACCATCTGCTGGCCAGGTAGGGGCTCTCAGCCAGGGGCTGTTCCTCTGGAGCAATGCACAGCTTGTAGCTTTGATTAAAAAGAAAGGTTCAGGCTGAATTTCCCGAGCCAAGCTCAAACATTTTTGAATATTACTCAGACAGGGGCTTCTTCATCTTCCTTTCTCCCCCCTCTTGCCTTCGCTCTTTTCTGTTGCAGTGATGCGGGGGGTTGGGTTGGACATGGGGGTGGGATGCGGTATTTGCTGAGGGTCCCTCTTTCATGGGGGAACTCACTCAGACTCTGGGGCCGGGCCCCCCTATGCTGCCTCTGGGGTCATGCCTCATGCCACGTGACCACCCCCCCTCACTTTTACCCTTCGAGGATGAAATGCAGCATTTACATCTAATCACTCTGATTTAATATGCTCTGAGATGTTCGTTATTATTAAAAAAAAAAAAAGAAAGAAAAGGTCCATCCGACTTAGGGGGTCTCAGCAGAAAGAAAAAATGTGGCGTCTCTCCTTGGGTTTCCGTGAGAAATAATCTTCGATGCTGCTGTGTTCACTCTCCGTGAGGCGTTTCCTTTGCGGATGGAGGCGCCCCTGGGAGCAGGCCCCTGCCTGCGGGTCACGTGGGGTAGAGTGCATGTGTGCAGGGTTTGTGGCGTGGCCTCTTGGGGCCCTAAGCACCCACTGCTGTCCGCTCCAGTGGGTCTAGCTGGTCCTTCAGGCTGCCCCAGAGCCTGGCCCCATGCAAGGGAAGTTTCATGGAAACTCGACTGCAGCTCCTGGTACTGGGGGGAGCCTGGGGTGGCCGGCGGGGTATCAGGGGTCTGGGATCGAGGCCTGGAGGGCCCTGCAGAGCTTCACGACGGGCTCCTCTTCATCCCCCTCCTCTTCCTCTCCTGTGGTGATGGCGGCATCGCACACCATCCGGACGTGGGCCAGGAGCGTGTCGGGCCGAGGGGCACCCAGCCACATGTCCTTGATGTAAAGGGACACCAGGAAGGCGGCAGTGGCTGGGGACAGGGAGGAGGACAGGGCTGTGAGCATGTCTACCTGCCCTGCAAAAATGTGACCCCCCCCCACCATGCCCGGCACCCAGGGGGCTCTGCCCGTGACCACATGGGGGGGCCCTGGGTAGTGACCGCGCATTGGCTGTGCCATGTGGGCTCCCTTTGTTTTCTAGCATGGAGGAGGGAGGGGGTCGGGAAGTGCTTCCAGGTCATTGCCCCCACCCCGTGGCAAGACGGCTCAGACTTACCTCGTGTGACCGCCTCCTCCCCGTCGTCCAGGGAGGACTGGCAGAGACCCTCGACGGCCGTGTGGACGGGGTTCCCGGCCAGGCCCCGGGTGGCCAGCAGGCGCAGCATGATGGCGTTGAACTGGCGGGCCACGCTGCCGGAGGGCCCGGCCCACGCCTCGGCTCCACTTAGCTGTGTGTACAGGCCGAAGAGGCCGGTGTCAGCGGCGCCATCCTCGAGGAGCTGTGCCACCACGGCTGGCTGCGGCAGAATGTGTGTCTCTAGCCAGCCCAGGAGCCTGGCGGCCTCGGCGGCGTCTGGCGGGCACCCGGCCATTGAGCGCAGTGCCCAGCTGGCCGCCAGGGCGGCAGTGATGCATTCAGGGGTGGCCCCGTCCATGGGCTCGGGCCCCGGGAACGCAGGGGTCCAGTGCGTGAGGATGGCCCGCAGGAGGCCCTGGCATGCTCCTACGCCCGTCACCGGCAACTCGGGTGCAGCCACCGCCTCCTCGTTCCCTGGCCGCCGTCTCCGGCCCCGTGGGCCCCTGGCGCGGGCTGGGCCAGAAGGCTTGTTCATGTCCCTGAGCATTTCTAGGCGACACAGAGAGATGGGGATCATTGGGGGCCACACGGCGGGGGGAAGGGAGAGGCAGCGCCCGGACACTGTGGGGCCCCCCGTGTGCCCCCACCCTGCCCTCGGTCGGGAGGGGGATGGTGGTGGTGGTCACTCACTCAGCAGCCGGCCGGGGGGCAGCCTCTCAGTGGCGGCCCTCAGGGCCTCCTGCAGCCCGGTGTCCCGGCCCAGCAGAGCCCAGCGCTGCAGCAGCAACATCACGTCCCCCGTGGTCAGCGCCGCCTCGGCCACAGTGAAGCGGCCCAGCTCCCGGAAGGCCTGCAGCACCGTGGCTCGGTACCGCAGCACCGACTCCAGCGTCCCAAGGAAGGCCGTCAGCTGGGCGGCGGTCAAGGCTGGCCTGGGGGGGAGCCACAGGGTAGGTGTGTGTGCGGGACTGGCCGGGTGTCCCCCCGAGCTGACCGGGTAACGGTGAGGGACCCCACAGCCTGTGGGGATGATGTGCCAGCAGGGGCCACCTCAGCCCTGGCCTTGGCCTGGAGAGCTCAGTTCTGAGACCACGAGCTTTGGGGTCTCCTGAGACCCACGCCCCCCACCACCCAAGCTCCAAAGGGGACCCCTTGGTAACTTTCCCCATGACACGAAACACTGGGGTAAGGTGGGGGCAGCCCTGGAGGAAGCCAGACGGGTCAAAGAAAGGTGATGCCAGTTGCCCTTCGGGAAGTCTGGGTGCAAGAGGCAGGTGAGTGGGGAGCACGTGGCTCGGGGTTCTCCTTTCCCTATGCACCCCAGGGGCAGGTGTGTCTAGCAAGGTGAGTCTGCAAAGGCACCTCAGAGAGCCGATGTGGAGGCAAGGGGGTGGGGGGCAGCTTCTTGGAGGCCCCGGCGGGGGCAGGGGCTGGCATCTTACCGCAGGTGCCTGGTGAGCGCTGTGAGCACAAACAGGAACTCGCTGACCAGCTGCAGGGGGAGGTGTTTGGGGGGCTGCTGAGGGTCCTTCACGGCCCCACCTTTATTCCCCAGGTTGGTCTCCCACAGTGCCTGCAGCAGGGAGATGAGGCCGGCCAGCAGCGGGGTCTCCAGGAACCTGGAAGCACAGGGGGTACATTCGGCTCTCAGTGGGGACCCCCTATAACGCCCCCCTTCAAGTCTTCCTGCTCGTCAGCTCACTGCAGCCCCCACCCCCCTCAGCGCACAAGCAACCTCGGCAAGATGTGTGTGTGTTTGGGGGTGGGGGGCTGGTGAACAAATGCTTAGCTAAAACAGGGGATGAGGACCCCAGTGAGAAATTCAGGAGCAGGGGTGGAGAGCCAGGCGGCAGGACAGGGCGGCCCACCTGGGTCCTTTCTCAAGGCACCACAGAGAGTCCCCATTGAGTGCACCAGGAGTGATCCATGAGTGCAGAGCTAGGAGGAAGCCCTGAGCATCGCCAGGTGAGGCCCCCAAACTAATGAATCAATTCAAAAGTGATGGGCTGGAGCGACAGCACAGCGCGTAGGATCTTTGCCTTGCACGTGACCGACCCAGTTTGATTTCCAGCATCCCATATGGTCCCCCAAGCACTGCCAGGAGTCGTTCCTGAATGCAGAGCCAGGAGTAACCCCTGAGCATCACTGGGTGTGATCCAAAAGGCAAAAAAAAAAAAAAAAAAAAAAAAGATGCAGAGAGAGGAGAGAACAGGACCCCCCACCCCCCACCCACCTTCACTGGACACACTGAGCCCCTCCCCCCCAGCACGTGGATCTCGATTACTTGTCTCACTAGTTCACTGTGTGGCTATTTCTATTTTTGAGAAGCCCGTATTCTCTCTCAAGCCTATACTTCCCTTCCCAACCCCATCTTCTAAATAAATCCCCCAAAACTGCACCTTGATTCACCTTAAAAACTAACAACAGCAAATGCAAGTGTGGAACAGGGTCAAAGTCACGACCTCCAAACACATTCTAGACCCACAAAAACACATTCTAGATTCAAGGAGGAAGTGCGATTTGGGCCACACCTGGCAGTGCTCAGGAGCTACTCCCGAAGGTGCTCAGAGAGGAGCCCTAAGTCTCCCCAGGGATGGCACCGGGGTTGGCCGTTTGCAGGGTGAGCATCTTGGCCCTGTACTGCACCCCTGAGAAAGCAGGCATACCTGGAAGTGCTCAGGGGTTACTCCTGAGAGTACTCGGAACACTGTACCGGGTGCTGGGCATCGAACTTCGATCGGCCACGGCAAGGCCAACGCCCTACCCGCCATCCTATGGCTCTACCCCCAGGATGTAACAGGTTCAATAAGGCACAAGGTCAGAGCTTGTGTGGGATGGTGACAAGGCGGTCGAGTGCAGGCCGGGAGGCCCCAGCTCAGTCGGCTCCCCATAGCCTCGAACCCGTACTCGCTTGCCTCTGCCAGGTCACACTATCATCACCCTGCAGCGCCCGAGGGTCCGCTGAGACTCCGCCCGCCCACCCCTGCTGCTCACGGGCTCTCCAGGATGTGCAGGATCCACGTCAGGAGGCTGTAGTCTCGCAGGACCTCATAGGCTGGCTTGGGGGTCTGCGCGGCGTTCTGTAGGATTTCTAGGATCCAAATCTGAAAATCCCAGCACCAGGTGAAAACCCCATCTGGAGGCTTGCAGACATGGCATGTGTGGGGGGAGTGGAGCAGTGCTGTGTATGTGTGGCTGGGCAGTGTTCTATGTGTGTGTGTGTGTGTGTGTGTGTGTGTGTGTGTGTGTGTGTGATGGGGCAGTGGTGTGTTTGTGTGTGTGTGTGTATGTGTGTGTGGTGGGGCTATGCTGAGAGGCCCGTGTGGGAATGGAACACGCAGAGGACTTGGGGCTCCCATGAACACTCAGCCCTCCTAGGGGTCCCTCTAATGTCACAAGGAACCAGCCCCACAAGCAAAGGTGCAGCAGGGGACTGCCCAGGGCCAGCCACAGCCTGAGCCCAGCACTGGGAAAGGGATCCAGCAAGAGGGGCTTGTCCCCTGCACCCCTGCCTGCCCCAGGCTGGGAACTGGATGCGCAGCACCCTCTTGTGCGTGAAAAACCCAAACACACAAGGCCGTACTGGGGTCCGGGGCTGCGGGGCGCCTCCTCCTGCTCCTCCACGTCTTACAACCAAGCAGAGGCGAGAGCTCTGAGGGGCTGCAGTGCAGGCTGGGGGCTGCTCCGGCTCTCCCAGCCACACAGCACACATACACAGGGACACACACGTGTGCGCGTGCAAACACACACACACACACAGAGGCACACTAATTTGTCGGATATGCACACACTTACAGAAACTGATACTTATATTTTTATGTTTTGTTTTGGGGCCACACTGGCAGTGCTCAGGGCTTACTCCTGGCTCTGTACCTAGGGACTGCTCCTGGCAGGGCTTGGGGGATCACTGGGGGTACCAGGGATCAAACCTGGTCAGCTGTGTGCAAGGCAAGTGCTCTACCTACTGTACCATCAGTCTGGCCCGGATACACTTAAAAGTTAAGTCAGTCTGAGGAGAGGGGTGGAAAAATGGTTTACGGGACCTTGGCTTCCGGGAAAGCCAGCACCCCGGGGGAAGCTCCCTCAGCGGGGTCCTGGAACCGCTCTTCTCCCTGCTACCTCGCCCAGAAGAGATTCCTGAGGCAGAGCCACGTTAGAGATAGCTGGACCGACAGTCACCAGCCCCTCTGATATGTAAAAAAGTGCCGGTTAGGTCGGCAGAGACAGGCAAATGCCTGAATGTTTGCCCTCGCGCTTCCTGTAGAGAGTTCAAGAGTAAACACGAAGCGGGAGAGAATCGAGGCTCTCAGTCTGCAAGGTTGGGGTCCCTCACCTCATGCTTTCCCCTCAGGTCTGTCTTGTTTCCTCAGCTCTCACGGTGCCCTGCTTCACACCTGCCAGCTGGGGGCTGGTCCCTGGCACTCCCTGACATGTGAACACACAGGCATAGAGAAAGGCACGCAGGGACACACATGGGCATAGGAAGAGAGGCATGCAGGAACACACAAGGGCATGCACACTGAGACATGGGCACACAGACACACACGGGCAAGCAGAGACACACACGAATATGCAGACAGACACGGGCACACAGAGACACACACAGGCACAAAAAGACACACACGGGCTCACAGAGACACACATGAGCACACAGAGATATACAAGAGCCTGCAGAGACACACACGGGCAGCAGACACACACATGGGCATGCAGAGACACAGGCACACAGAGACACACACAGGCATGCAGAGATACACACAGGCTTGCAGAGATACACACGAGCCGGCAGAGGCACACATGGGCATGTAGAGACACACACAGGCACGCAGAGACATATACGGGCACGCAGAGACATACATAGGCATGCACACTGAGACACAGGCATGCAGACACAAAGGCACACAGAGACACGCGGGCATGGCAGAGACACACAGACATGTAGAAGCACACACAGGCATGTAGAGACACACGGGCACGCAGAGACACACGGACATGCAGAGATAGACACGGGCACACAGAAATACACCCAGGCAAAAAAAGACACGCACGAGCTCACAGAGACACACACGAGCACAGAGAGATAAACAAGAGCCTGCAGAGACACACACGGGCAGCAGACACACACACGGGCATGCAGAGACACACATGGGCATGCAGAGACACACACGGGCATGCAGAGACACACATGGGCATGCAGAGACACACACGGGCATGCAGAGACACACAAGGGGTTGCAGAGATACACACATGCCTGCAGTGACACACACGGGCACGCAGAGTCACACATGGGCATGCAGAGACAGAGACATGCAGACACAAAGGCGTATACCCAGAGAGGCATGCAAACACTTACATGCACACACACACACACACACACACACACACACACACACAAACACAGACTCAGGTCCTGTCCCCCGAGCCCAACTCTGACCCGCGGCTGACTCGGGGCAGCCTCGCATGTCCCAAGTGTCCGGGAGGCTCCACGGGCCGAGGCGCCCTGACACGTCCCCCCCTCCCCAGGGGCTAGGGGCCTACCTGGGCGGCGGGGTCGCAGAGGGGGCTGTTGAAGAAGGCCAGCAGGATGCGCAGGACCCCGCGGCGTGCGTAGAGATCGTAGCAGTGTCTGTCCCGCAGGCCCTGGCGCAGTAGCTCCAGCATCCACTCCCGCTCGACCTTTTGCTGGAACAGCACAGGAGGCGCCCGCTGAGGCCCAGCCACTATCTGTCAGGGCTGCAGGGCCCCGGACTCTCTCTCTCTGGTGCCCAGAAAAGCCAATATGCAACCCGGAAGCACCTCCCCATATAACATGGATGCCAGACAGACCCCGGGGGTGGGCAAGGGGCTGGGGCAAGGGCTGGAAGGGGAGGCTGCAGGGGTGGCCTGGGGTGGCCAGGCCAGGCGGTGCCGCGCACCTCGAAGTCGGAGCTGTAGAAGAACTGGAAGAAGCCAGGGATCTTGCCCATGTGCAGGAACTGGTGCGACAGCAGGAACTTGGCGAGCTTCATGTACATGTGCTCCTCTGCGGGCAGGCACAGGGCAGCCTCAGACACAGGGGGTTGGCACCTCTTGGGGCGCCCAGCATGCCAGCCGACCCGAGGGGCGCCCAGCAGCAAGGGGCCCGGGGCGCTGTCGCCTGCTGCCACCAAACAGGCTGCAGGGGCACCCTCATCCCATGGGTGGAGGAGGGGACAGGAGGCGGCCCCAGCACATGACCATGCCACACCCCCTGCCCCGCCTCTGCCCCGCCCCACCCCACCCCACCCAGCCCAGCCCAGCTCAGCCTCACCCAACCAAGCCCAGCCGGTGGGTACCTGGCTTCAGGACCTGGCGGGCAGCTTTGGCGATGAAGAGCACCAGGGTGAAAGTGAGCCGCATGTTTGGTTTCCGGATCCCGCTGCGGACCACGTCCAGCAGGTACAGCACCTGACGAGGTCACGGGCGGGAGGGAGGCCGGCGCTACCCTCATGCTTCTCCCCAGGGAAAACCACAGCTCCGCACTGGGTCGGGGAAGGGGTGAGGCCCAGGAGCCTTGGGCTGTTTGGGCCCCCTCCCCGGGCCTGTCTCGGACCCCCCCCACCCCACTTGGGCCAGTCCTAGGACTTCTCCCCTGGGTCTGTCCCTGGCCCCTCTCACCTGGGCCTTCTCGCGGAATCGCGCCCCCTCCACATGGGAGTAATAGGCCGCCAGCACGGAGTAGGCGGCCGCGCGCATCTGTGTGTCGTAGCTGCTGAGGGCCGCCACCGTGAGGCCCAGGGCGTTGGAGTCCAGGAACTTGCGACAATCCACCACGAACTCTGCGGGGGGGAGCACGGTGGTCCGTATGCCGGGCGTGGGGTGGGTTGACCCTCGCCCTCCCGGCTTCTCCCCACTCCTCCCCGCTCCCAGATCCCACCAAACGTCCCCTGACCCGCGTCTGTCCTTCCTGGCACCTGACCGGGACCACTGGTGGTGGGGAAAGCGTGCCGGTGAAGGGACGGGTGTTGGGACACTATGACTGAACCCCATCACAAACGACTTGGTAAATGGGGCAGGAGCAATAGCACTGCCGGGAGGGCGTCTGCCTTGCATGCGGCCGACCCAGGTTCAATCCCCAGCATCCCATAGGGTCCCCCGAGCACCGCCAGGAATGATTCCTGAGTGCAGAGCCAGAAGTAACCCCTGTGCATCGCCGGGTGTGACCCAAAAAGAAAAAAAAAAAAAACCAAAACTCATATTGCCATGATTCAATTAAAATAAATAAATAAATAAATAAATGGGGAAATAAACAAATCAAATAAATTAAAGTCGCTCTGTTCAGGGGAAGATATCACCGCCCCCCTCCCGGCCCAGCCCACCCCCACCCCCCAGCCTGTGGCCGCCCCGCTGTCACCTGGCCGGGTGAGCTCGCTGAAGAGGTGGAGGAGGAAGCAGGGGTCGTAGAGGCCGTCCAGCTCAGGCATGCTCTTGTCTCGGAACACAGGGTCCTGCGTGTCCTGGGAGAGCCCCTTGGGGTCACAAACGTGGACGCGCCCCAGGGTGCTCAGAGTACTAGCCACTGGGGGCAGCCCGGGGTGGGGCTGGTTTGGGTCCCCCCCTCCCATGTGAAGGGCTTCCGGTGGGTGCCCTGAGTTCAGGGCCGCACCTCGGGGGACAGCAGCCGCCGGTTCTGGGGGAAGTGCAGGATGGTGGCCATCATCCGGTCGGGGTCCAGCAGGCGCAGCACGTCCCCAACGCTCGGCTCCTGCCACAGTGACTTGCCCAGGCTCCGGCACGTCTTGTGATGGTCCACGGCCGCCGGACCCCACAGCAGCACCCTGGGGAGGGGGCACAGCGGACGAGGGCCGCGGGCTTGGTCCCGAGTGTATGAGGCAAGTGCCCTGCCAGCAGGCCTATCCCTCCAATACAAGCTAACTGATTTTTGTACACATCCTTCGGTTTCTATGTCTAAAGCCCTGCTTAACCCCCGGGACCCCCGCAGGCTCCCTGTGTGGTCACAGCAACCTGCTGCTAACCCTGAAGGCCCAGCGGCCTGTAGTTGACTGACCCCGACTATTAGCCAACTCCCTGCCTCCTCTAACCTGGACGCCCTAGGTCTGTGAGGCGTCACATCTGCAGAATTCCAGAGCCCGTAATCACAACACGGCCTGCCTTGGGCAGCCCTCTGCCTTGCCTCGCTGGCTGTCCAAGGCCGTAGAAGTGAGGGGGCACCCAGGTGTCTGTGAGACATTAGGCCCCGGGGCCCACAGGTGAGAAGGAATGGAAGTGCCTTCCCGGCTTTCTGGCTCTTCACCCGGGAAGGAGATTTTCTACTTCACTCCCCACTGCTGCAAACGGGGGAAAAACACACGTAAGAAGACACACACAGATACACACACACACATACACACACAGAGATACAGTCACACCAACACAGATATACACACATACACGCACAGATACACACGAACATACAGACACACAGATACAGATACATATAAACACACTCAGATACAGAGAAATACAGACACACACAGATACAGTCACACCAACACACAGTCACACCAACACAGATATACACACACACAAATACAGATACATACATACACAGAAACAGATAGATACACACACAGATATATACAGACACACACAGATAGTCATACCAGCACAGATAAACACACACAATCACACAGAGATACAGACACACATACACACATACAGATACAGACACAGATAAATATAGATACACACAGAGAGACATACCAACACACACAGATACACACATGATAGTGACACCAACACAGACACACACAGATAAAGACACATACACACAGATACAAACAGAGATACAGTTACACCAACACAGATACACAGAGTGAGATACACACTGAAACATACATATACACACACAAAGACACTCCAACACACACATACACAGATACACACAGAGATAGAGTTACACCAGCACAGAAACACACACACACCAACAGACACAGACACAAAAACATATAGACAGAGACAAACATACGCATAGATACTACAGATACACATTCAAAGACAGACACACACATACACACATGGAGGTGGGGCTACAATTCCAAAATGGGGGCCAGGCCCTGGGTTTTCTCTCTCATGTTTTCTCCTGTTTCCCACCGCGGATCTCTGGTTCTACCGTTTCCCATGCACGTGGGTGGTGTCTGTGTGTGTGTCACACACACACACACACACACACACACGGCACTGGCACCACACTCCAGGGGCCAGCCTGGGGGTGGGCGCTCACCGGAAGCTGATGAGGCTGAGGTGGTTCTGCTCGTAGGCGCGAAGGAGCAACAGGATCTTCTGGTCTGGAGGAGGGTCACGGCTCAGCCTGCAGCAGGGGCCCAGTCCCCAGCCAGCCCACCCGGCAAGCCCTCCCCCCACCCCCCCCGCAAACCCACCCCTCTCCGCACGCACCCAGGGCGCTGAGCGAGGCGCCATAGGCCCCGAGGAGCACGGCGAAGTGGCTGCTCTCACAGACGGATGGACAGAGCCTCACCAGCGCCCGCATCAGGTCCACCAGTGCTTCTGAGGGGGAGCAAGAGGGCCGGGGGCTCAGAGAGTACCTGGAAGGAAGACCCCCCACCCACATCTCTGCCCCCCACATCTCTGGGCTTGACCCAGGACACTGCCGTGACCCCCTTGTCCCCAACACGAAGCCGCCGCCAATTCTACCACCCAAGGCCCCTCCCCAAAGTGGGTCCCAGCTCCTCGTGTCAGAGCCCACCCCTGGGGGAGGGTCCCTGGGATGAAAGGCTGAGTCTGGCCCTGACTCCAGCCAGGCAGGACCCTTCAGACTACCCAGGACTGGGATCCCCGGGGCAGGGCACCCCTGCGCCTCCTTCTTCCTGACCACCCCGAGTCCGTGGGAACAGCTCTGGGGGCCACGGGGGGTGGGGTCTCACCCTTGACGTCCCCATCAGCATCCTCCAGCAGGGTGGGCAGGAACAGGGAGTGCTGGGTGACCATCGCGTGCAGCCGGGGCAGCGGCAGCAGTGGTGGGTCACGGGCAGGGCCCCCCAGAGGGTACAGGAGGGGCAGGGCTGTGTGCAGCGCCCGCAGGAAGGCGCCTTCCTGATAGCGGAACCTGGAGAGGGGGCGGGGAGAGCATCAGACAGACACACAGCCATCCCCAAGTCACAGATAGACAGACCCACACCTACCCAAACAGACCTACACCCACCCAGACACACAGATCCACATCCGCCCCGGACACACAGACCCACACCTGCACAGACACACACACACACACACACACACACACATACACACACAGACTCTAGACAGACAGACCCAAACTCACCCCAGACAGACAAACCCACACCGGCCCCAGACAGGCAGCCTGCCCCCAGACGGACCTAAACAGACACATGCCCAGCCACCCCGGACAGACAAACAGACCCACACCTGCCCCTGGAGCTTCTTGCCCAGGGTGACGGTGCTTGTGTCACGGCACCAGGAGCAGGAGCCGGCACCCCTCCCCCCACCCCCAGCCACCACAGCCAGCGCAGGCGCCTAGCGCTTACTTGAGCCCGGTCTTCACCAATGCCTGCCAGTCCCCAGGCTCCACCTCGGGCCTCGCGTCCTGTGGGGTCAGGTGGGGGAGGGACATGCACGGAGTGTCCAGTGGGGACAGAGCTGCAGCCAAGCGCCCCTACATGGCCCAGCAGCCAGAGCAGGGGACATACTCCCCCCCCCCCAGCTCCCAAGGCAGCACACAGGGCCCGGTGGGTGGCCCCTCAATGGTGGTGTTGATGGGGGGGGCATCTGCACCCTAAAGAGCATGGAAGGCGCCGGCTCGGGGTGAGGGCAGCAGAGATCTGGCAGGAAGGGCAGAGCCCAGCAGGTAGGTACGAATAGGGAGGAGTCAGCTCTGGAAGGTGCTGGCTGGGAATGCACTGTCCACACTTGGGGTCTACGCTGTCTACACCTGGGGTCCGCACTGTCCATAACCAGGGTCTACAACTGTCTACAACTGCGGTTCATGCCATCTACACCCGGGGTCCACACTGTCTATACCCAGGGTCTACAATGTCTACAACCGGGGTTCATATTGTCTACACCCGGTGCCACACTGTCTATACACGAGGTCTGCACTGTCTACCCCTGGGGTCAACAGTGTCTACACCCAGGGTCCACACTGTCTGCCCCCAGGTTCCCAGGTTCCACACTGCCTACACCCGTGTCTGCGCTGCCTGCACCCAGTCCCATACAGGATCCTTGCAGGAAGTTGTTCCTATGACTGGCACTTCCTGTCCCCTCTGGTTCCGTTTTGCTGACGCTAAAGCTGGGCTCCAGCAAAGGGCAGGGAGGTCATCTGCCAGGCGTGCAGCCCAGCCAGGTTCAATCCTCAGCACCCCACAGGGTCACCCAAGCCCCGCCAGCAGTGACCTCTGGACACAGAGCCAGGAGTCAGCCCCGAGCACCACCGAGCGTGCCTCCCACACATGAAAATAAAAAAGAAACCTGCTCAAGGAAGAAAACAGACAGGAGGGAAGGCGGCAGATCCTGGGGAAGACAGACCCTGGGTCGGGGGCTGTGACTCACTTCCCCGTCTGCCCCTTCCTGTGCTCTGCACTCCTGTGGGGTCCCTGTACCACAGACCTCGAGCCGAGCGGTGAGCTTGGGCACCCCTGCGGGGACGCGTTCATAAACCGCACAGCAAGGTGAACCCCAAGCGCCAGATCTAGGGCGGTGCCAAGGACACTGGGGTATATGGGTCCAAACCGCTGTCGATGACCCGAGGAGACAAATCCCAAAAAGGAAGAGTCGGGGGAGAGAGGGCTGGAGGGCGTTTGCCTTGCACACGGCTAACCCAGGCTCCATCCCCGGCATCCCACAGGGTCCTCTGAGCCCCGCCAGGAGTGATTCCTGAGAGCAGAGCCAGGAGTAAGCCCTCAGCATCACTGGGTGTGTCTCTCCCCACCAAAAAAAGGAGTGGGGGATGGGAGTGGGGAAACAAAGACCATAGGGACCCGCCCTTCTGACCCAGGTGGGACTTGGGGTGCCCGGTCCTGACCCAGGAGACAATGACAGGAACTCCCACTGCCCCCAGCCACATCCACCATCCAGGGGATGGACAGGAGTCCCTGTTCCTGCTCCGAGAGGTGCCTGGCACCCCTGGACACAGCCCCGCCCCCCACCTCTGGTGTCTGATACCCTCCTTCCCCTTCGGGCTGCTGAATCAGGGTGCCCACCAGCAGCTTGGTGAACCTTCGCAGCATCGCCGTCTCACGATCCCGGGTGCTGTCAGAATCCTGTTCAAGCGGGCCTGTGCCGAAGGAGGCCGCCAGCCACCGGACACAGGCCGCCAGCTGCGTTGTCTTCCAGGCCTGCAGCTCTTCGGCCGACTCGGCCAGGGCGGCCGAGATGGAGTCTGCCAGGTCCCAGCTACAGGGGAGATGAAGAGTCCCAGTGAGAGGGTGGGAGGTGCTTCAACCCATGCCCCCCAACCCCCTCGCCCACACACACACCACCTGATGTGGTCTCACCTGCAGACCCTCTGCCTTATCTGGCCCCACCACCCCACCCCCTTTTGAAATTTGTTTTTTTTTTTTTGGGGGGGGGGTGGGCGGGACACACCCGGCAGTGCTCAGGATTCATTTCTGGTGAGGCTCACAGGGACGCGGGGGGAATGGAAGAGCAGGCAGGGCCAGGGAGAGTGCTTTAACCCATTGTGAGGACACCGTTCTCTCAGGGTGAGCAACCAGGGGGGCAGGAATCATCCCTGAGCACTGCTGAGGGTGGGGGGGTGGTTCCCCAAATAAGAAACAAACCATTCACCCAAGCCCTGGAAACGATCATCTTTAAAAGAACAAAGCAAGGGCTGGAGGGACAGGGCAGCAGGGAGGGGGCTTTGCTCGCCTTGCACAGGGTGAAGCAGGATGTATGGTCCCGGCATCCCGTATGGTCCCGAGCTCGTCAGGAGGAATGCCCAAGCTCGCCAGGAGTAGCCCAATACATAAGAACCAAACCAAGGACCAACAGTACAGCGGGGAGTATGTTTGCCCTGAACCTGGCCGACATGGATCTGAGCCCCCAGCAACCCCTAGTGTCCCCTGAGCACTGGGAGGTGCGACCCCCAAGAGCAGAGCCAGGAGGAACCCCTGAGCATCGTCACGTGTGGCCTCAAAAAAAGAGAACAAATGGAGCTGGAGCACAGAGGGTAGGGCGTTTGCCTTGCACGCGGCTGACCCGGGTTAGATTCCCAGCATCCCATATGGCCCCCCAAGCACCGCCAGGAGTAATTCCTGAGTCTATAGGCCAGGAGTAACCCCTGTGCATCGCTGGGGTGTGACCCAAAAAGAAAAAAAAAGAGAGAACAAAGCTGCTCCCCAAATGCACCCAAGGCTAGTACTGACACTCTGAACTGCACCCCACAGGACACAGTGTTCCCCCCGCTCCACCGGCTCAGTCAGGGGTGCAGCAACCACTGGGGGCCCCAAGTTTCTGCTCAAAAACCTCCTTGGTGCAGTCCGCAGGAATGGGGTGCCTTGGCCTGAATCTGGCCATCTTGACCTCAGCTCACTCTGCGGGGCAGGGCTGAACAGTGTGAACCACACCCGGGGCCATGCTGCCCACCCCCAACCCCTCCCCACAGCCCTTCGCACCTCCTGAGGCTGCCAGGGGTCTGAAGCATATCAGGCAGACGGTCCATGAGGCCCGCGAGGTTCTTGGCCCGTGCAAAAGGGACCAGCTGGGCCAGGACCTCCCAGTGCAGCGGGGGGGCCTCGGGATCTGCGTCGGGGCCCAGCAGCCCGGCCTGCAGGCGTCTCCACAGCGCCTTCCTCAGGACGGAGATGGCGGCAGCAGGCGCTGGGGGGAGAGGGGGAGGGAGTGAGAGGCGGGGGGCCTGCAGAGTGCCGCCCCCATGGAGAGATGCCAGGGGCTCCAGAAGCGGCTGGTTCCACTGTCACATCCCCAGGAACCTGGACAACACTTCCCCCCACCCCCTACCCCTGCCGCCCCCAGCTCACACCCCTGCTCAGACCACGGGCACCCATGGGCGCTCTGATGGATGCTTCAGGGGCCTGGGAGCACGAGGGGGGCAGGAACTATGGGCTAGAGGAGTGGGGAAACTCCTCTTTAGTTTGCTTTGGGGCCACCCCTGGCGATGCTCAAACGATCCCCAGCACCTCACATGGTCCCGAGCACCGCCAGGAGTCATTCCTGAGTGCAGGGCCAGGAGGAAGCCCTGAGCATCGCTGGGTGTGACCCAAAAAGAAAAAGAAAAAAGAAACAGAAATGGAGTGATCCCTGAGTGCAAAGCCAGGAGGAAGTCCCGAGCCTCACCAGGTTTGACCCCCGCCCCCCCCCCCCCAAATAAATGAGTGATTCCTGAGTGCAGAGCTAGGAGAAACCCCTGAGCATCGCTGGGTGTGCCCCCCCCCCCCCCCGGCCAAACAAAAGGCCAAGAGGAGAGGGACAGAGTCCAGAGCATCAACGCAGAGGCAGGAAGGGGAGGCCCAGAGTGTGGGAGGGTGGGTGGGGTAAGCTGGGGACCCCCAAGACCCCTCAGCCCTAGGCTGCTCCCACTCTGGCCCCATGGTGGTGGCCTCTGACCAGTCGCCTGGCCCTGACCCTTGCCGTGGGCTGAGGAAGCCCAGAGATGGGGAGAAGAGGGAGGGTCTGCCATAGGGGGTCGTGGCCGTACCTGCCCGTGGCCTGGTGCTGGGGTCGCTGGCGCTGCTTTGCAGGTAGGCGTGCACCAGGGGCAGGAAGTCATCCAGCTGCTCCCGCAGGATGGGGCCCACGTCCTCCCGCCCGCACCAGCGCTCGAAGCTCAGCTGGTGGGTCGCGCTGCGGCGCAGGAGCAGCTCTGCCAGGCCCAGAGTGGCCGGTGAGGGGCGTGCCAGGCAGGCGGCTAGGAGGCCCGGCCCGGCGGCGGGCACCAGCTCCGGCCGGTCCTGCAGTGCGTGCAGGAGCGCGGCGTCCAGCTCAGCGGCGGCCAGGCTGGGCAGCAGGGTGCCCAGGCCACGGGCGTGCTGGGCGGCCCAGGGCAGCGGGCTCCTGGGGCCGCGCGCCAGGAGCAGCACCAGGCACCGGCCCAGCGCGTTCAGTGGCCGCCGGGGCCCAGGTCGCGCCGGGTCGGCCGGGGCCAGCAGCTGGGCCTCGGGCAGGTCGAGCAGGGCCAGGGTGAGCTCGTGCATTGGGCCGTCGCCCAGGAATGGGTGCAGCGCCCGCAGGGCCTCCAGCTGCGGCAGGGTCTCGGGGGGCGCCCGCCCGCGCTGCAGCTCTGCCCGCACGCTCCGCACGATGGCCGCCGAGTACGCGTCCAGCAGCCCCAGCTGCCCGGTGCGCTGCAGGACGGGCGCGCTGGCCAGCAGCAGTGGCAGGACTCCCGCGCTTAGCCGGGCCGCCAGCAGCTTGACCAGGACCGGGCCGAGGGCGTGGGGCGGCAGGGCCTGCTGCTCCAGCGCCAGGTACCAGCCCTCCAGCGTTGGGTGGCGGAGCACAGCCGAGAGCATCTCCTCCAGCGTCTGTGGGACAGCGACAGGCAGAGGGCAGCTGAGGCGGGAGCCACGGTGGCTAGGGGACAGTGATGGCTGGGAGGGGCCTTGGCACGGGCAGAGCCTCGGAGGGGGCGTGGCCATGATAGGGGCGGGGCCACAGTGGGTAGGGGTCAGCAGCCAGCCAGGAGGGGGCACAGCGGGCAGAGGCCAGCTCCTGGCCAGCTCCACGGATCCCAGGGGCTTCTTGGGATGCCCCTGTAAAACACTGTTTTCTTGAGGGACGGCCGGACCCCACCTTGTAGGCTCCAGGGTTGGGGGTTGGGGGGGGACTGCGTGGTACACAGGAGGGCCAGCAGGAAGTCACACAAGTTGGGCATCACCTGGTCACCTTGGCCAGGCGGGGTGACAGTGGGCGGGCTGAGTGGTGCAGAATGAGCACTTGTCTGTGGGGGGTGGGGACAGCTGGGCCACAGGTACAGGGGACCACCCTTCCAAGAGTCTGGCACTAAGCCCTGACCCGATTCAGAGTCACCCCAGAGAGTTCGGGGAAGCTGCCGAGCTAACTGGCCTGAAGAGGCCCAGGGCCTCTGAGGTACCCAGGGTGCTGGGAGGATGGTGAGGAGAGGTGAGGAGGATACAGAGGTGGGGTTGGGAGGATGGTGAGGTGAGGGGGAAGGACAGTGAGGTGAGGTGAGGCCGGTGAAGTGAGGAGGCCAGTGAGGTGAGGCAGGGAAAGACCATGAAGTGAGGTGGGGAGGATGAAGAGGCGAGGAGGCCAGAGAGGTGAGGTGAGCACAGTGAGGTGAGGTGGGGAGGACGGTGAGGTGAGTAGGACGGAGAGGGGTGAAATGAGGACTGTGAGGAGGGAAGGATGGTGAGGTAAGTTCAACAAGGTGAGGCGGGGAGGGCAGTGAGGAGAGGCAAGGAGAAAGGAGAGGACAGTGAGGTGATGTGAGAGCAGCGAGTGAGGGGAGGACCTGACATGTATCCTGTCACCTCCTGAGCCAGGCAGGCCAGCTGGGGGTGTGAGTAGAAGCCCCTCCCATGGCCTAGCCCGGCCAGCACATAGTGCCCAGGGTGTCTGCCCAGGGCACGAGGCGGGAAGCACAGGAGCGCGAGGTCAGGAGAAAGGGGTACAGAACCAGGATGGCAGGCAGCGGTACCTTGTCACCGGCCCGCTCCAGTGAGGCCATAGCCTCCATGTCCAGGAAGAGGTCGGTGTCGGCGTCGGCCTGGGCAGTCACACACTCCTCCTGCCTCTGGGCATCCAGCTGGGTGCAATGGACCACCAGGTCCCGGAGGAGGTCCAGGAGCAGCTGCAGCTGCGGGGGCCCCACGGTCTTGCCCAGCTGTGGGGACGGACAGGGGGACAGTCACCGGGCCAGCCGGGACTGCTCAGAAACGTCCTTGGGCAATGCATGGTTTCACTCCTTCATGCTCTGCTCAAGGCAGGATGAGGGTCCCTGGATGGCTCTGAGGGGGGAAAGGTGGCTTTGGCAGAGGCCTGTGGACAGCTGGGGGGACGCTGGACCCCTCCCCATGGCGGCAGGGTGCATGGTACTCACTTGGCCAAAATTGTCCACTGTGCTCCGGACGTAGAGTAGCAGGTGGCGGGCAGCGAGTGGGCCCCGGTGCAGGGGGAGGCCAGGGAGGGCAGCCCGCAGCTGTGCCTGCACCTCTGTGTCCAACAACGCCCCCTTCCGCTCATAGGCCGCCTGCAGCAGGGCGGGGAAGGAGGTAGCCGATGGGTCCTCGGGGCCAGAGGTCTCGGGCGTAGGAGTCAGCTGGGGGGAAGGGAAGGAAAGTGTCGTCACCACCCATTGGCTAGGCACGTCCAGGCACCACTGACCGTGGGCTGTGGCATTTCTCAAGCCTGAATGCCGGCAGCTCCCGAGTTTTACTGGGCTGCGAGGGCTTGGACCCCCCTAGACCTGTCACGTCACAGCGAGCCCCAGTCTCAGCCCCTGTTCATCCCTGGGATGTCGCAAGGATTCTGGCTTAGCCGCAGGGGGCAGCTCAGCAGGAGACCCCCAGGGGACAGGGGGTCAACGTGCCATGGATGGACGTGGCCACGGGGCTGAGATGGAGCCTGCGCAGGCTGGAGGGGAAGGGAAAGCCCAGAGCCCAGGAAAGCATCCGGTTCAGCCTGAGTCTGCGGCTTCCTGGCCAGGAAGCCAGGCAGGGCTGAGAGAAGGGGTGCATGGCAGCCACGGGGAGTTAAAGTCAAGGTGGGCTGAGGGGTGGGCGGGCGGGTGTGTGATCCACCCCCTTAAGGAAGGAGCTAAGGCAGCCCCTCCCCAAAACCCCTGGAGGCCACAAGCCCCAGCCACAGCCCAGCCCTCACAGCTCACACAGGGACAGAGCCACGAAACAACCTCCTCCCCAAAACACACACACACACACACACACACACACACACACACACACACACACACACACGGTCTCTAGGCAGGAGACAGACAGACACCCCAGGCTGTTGTAGATAGAGACATACACACACCCAGAGGCTGTAGTCAACAGAGAGAGCCCCAAACACAGGCACCCAGGCTGTAGTAGACAAGAGACAGACAGACAGACAGACGCACCCCCACACACACTCAACGGTCTCCAGACAGGAGACAGACAGATGTACATCCCAAGCTGTAGTAGATAAATAAATACACACAACCAGAGGCTGTAGTCAACAGACAGACACAGCCCCATACACTTGCACCCAATCTACAGTAGACAGAGACAGACAGATACACACACACACACACACACACACACACACACACACACAGTGAGTTCTAGGATCCAAAGGGTGAAGTAGACAGACGGACACACACACACACACACACACACACACACACACACACACACATTGGGCTCCGGGATCCAGAGGGTGTAACAGATAGACAGACACACACTGAGTTCTAAAAGTTCTAAGTTCCAGAGGGTGCAGCAGATAGACAGACGGACACACACCTCCCTGAGCACTCACCGCAGGTGCACGGTTGGCCTCTGGGACCCACAGGCTGTAGTAGCGGCAGAAGCGGGGCAGCTGCGGGCAGCAGCAGGGCGGCAGGGGGGCGTCCAGCTGGTCGTAGGCCTGCAGCAGCAGGCACAGTGCCAGGGGGTCGCGCTGGCTATGCAGCAGGTCGGTGAGCACAGCGGTCAGGTAGGTCACGACGCTCTCTCCTGCGCAGGGTAGACAGGAACCGTGGAACTCTCAGCAACATGCACACACGCACACATGTACACAAGCACACACACACATGCACACATACCAAAGGCATGTACACAACACATGCACACGCACACATACCAAAGGCATACACACGCACAGGCACACATGCACTCATGTACACAAGTACACACACACACACATACCAAAGGCATGCATACACACATGTGCACACACACCCCAAAGGCCTGCATATACACATGCATGCATACACACATACACCAAAGGCATGCACACACATGCACATGTACACATGTACACAAACATTCACGCCCACAAACACATGCATACACAGGCACAGACATGCACACATACACATGCATGCGCATACACACGACATGCTTGCACACAAATACAGACACACGCACATATACACATGTACACACGCAAACACACATAGGCTACATGCTTGCAAATACACATGTGCACACATGCACACATACACACAGGAGGATCCCATCAACCCACTTCCTCTCCCCCTGCACTCCCCAGGGACCACCACTTCCCCCTCCTCCTGTGGCGGCCACACACCAAGACAGTAGAGCCACCAGATGGAGTGTCCAGGACCCTGAGGCTGCCCCTCCGGGACAGGGGCCTGGAGAGGCCCCACACTGAGAGTGACAAGAATGTGGCCTCTGCCTTGGACACCGAGGTCACGTGGGCAACAGCCACAGTGGCTGAGTAGGGGTCAAGCCCTCTGTGGGTGGGACCCAGTGGCCCAAGTAGCAACAGAGTCTCAAGGGGGCAGCAAGGGCTCAAAGACAGGGGCCAGAGGGATGGTGCAGTGGGCAGGGCACTGAGGGTTCCCTAAGCCCTGCTGGGAGTGACTGCGGGTGTGAGCCCTGAGCACAGGAAGCGTCAGCACCCCCACGCCAGGCCCCTCCAGCAGCCCTACTGCCCCCGTACTCCTCTCCCAGCTGCCAGGCCCAGCCACATGGCCTGCTGCTGGTGGTGGCTGCCCTGGGCTTCCAGAGCCCGAGCAACCCACTCCTGTCCTGGGCACCTGGCAGGGCAGAGAAGACAGGCGAGGGTGGGGGTGGAGGGTGCCCTGGTACCTGCTTCCTTGTCGGCCCCAATGATGAGCTTGTTCCGGGCTTGCAGGGCAGCGGGGACCACGGCGCTGAAGGGAAAGGTGACCTGGGCCATATCCTCCGTGAGCGCGAAGCCAATCTCCTCATCCAGCCCCTCGCTGCCCTCCACCAGGACGTCCACCATGTCCAGGACATCTGGGAGGGGCAAGGGGGGAAGGGGAGGGCCAGGGAAATCATGCAGAGGCCGGGTCTGGAGGCTTCGGCCACTCCAATACCCCCCATCCCCCACACCCCAGTGGGGAAGGAACCTCAGAAGAGAAAATGAATAAACACAGGCTGATTTTCTCTCTCTCTCTCCCTTTCTCTCTCCCCCCCCCCCCCCCCCCCCCACTACAACAGGAGGAAGGATGGGACAGAGGAAAACATGGGTCCGATCTGATCGAAAAATCCAATTCTGCCTGACTTTGGCTTTTATTTTTTGGCTCTTTAAAAAAATAACTCAAGTCATGAGTTTAGTTACAGTCATTCCATCAACACCAATCCCAACTCTACTACACCTTCTCACCACCATTATTTCCAATTTTCCCGACTACCCCTCGAACCTGTCCCCATTGCAGGTCCTCGATAATTTACTTTCCGTTGCTTGCTAAAATTTGCTAAAAGGATGATCAAAGACTGTTTCCTTAGAAGAAAGTGTGTGCAAGGCTTAACCTGCAACAACAGGTGAATAATCTCTTACACAAGGGCTCAGTGGCTCCAGGGTGAGACATTACAATCTTCACACACTTTCTCCTAAGGAAATCTTTCTTAATCATTTTTAGAGAATCATAACAAGCAATATGAAATAAATCATTTCACGCCTGTTATTGGGCAGGCTTAGGTGGTGGTTAGGAAAATGGGAAATAATGTTGGTGGGAAGGTGTAATGGTGGTGGGATTGGTGTTGAAATACTGAATGTAACAAATCACAGTCACGGTCCTCCCGTTGTTCATCAATTTGCTCCAGGGGGCCCAGTAACGTCTCCATCATGAGACTTGTTACTGTGTTTGGCATATTGAATACGTCACGGGGAGCTTGCCAGCCTTTGCTGTGCGGGCGAGATACTCTTGGTAGCTTGCCAGGCTCTCTGAGAGGGGCGGAGGAATCAAACCCAGCTCGGCCAGGCCAGCTGCACGCAAGGCAAACACCCTACTGCTGTGCTATTGCTCCAACCCGTAACAAATCACTGTGAACAATTAAAAAAAAAAAGAAGAAAGTGTGTGAAGATTGTTGTATCTCACCATGGAGCCCTTCAGCCCGTGTGCAGGAGACTACTAAGCTGTTGTTACAGGTCAAGCCTTCTGTGTTCTATCTTGCTAATCGAGGCTGGTCGCTTCCTACATTACAGCCCACCCAGTCTGGTGTGCTACTCCTGGTTTGTCAGTGTTGTCGAGTTTGAAATGTCACAGCCGAAATTGCAGCTGCATGCTCTGGGTGTCTGAAATTCCTAATGGGGTGATACAGCTGGAGTTAAATTCTCAACTGGCGGCTTTGGGGCATGTGCGTGACTGCCGGGAGTCCGGAAGTACAGGGAGATGGGGGGAGGTCACCCATCCACTCTGCCGGACCTTGGAGAGCAGAGAACTGATGGTCTCATGGCTTCTCCCCCAAGAGGCTTAGATAACACACACACACTCTCTTTCTCTCTGTCTCTCTCACACTCTCTGTCTCTGCCTCTCTCTGAGGCCAACTCCTGGAAAATCTAAACATCTCTGCCTGACAGAAGTTATGACCTCGCTGGAAAGAAAGATGGCGGCCGCATGGGAGCCTTGTGGACAGCAGGTATGAGCCGGGGGTGAGGGGGCGACTAAAACCTCATGGGAAGGAGGGCGTCCCGGCCCGTCCTTCACGCCCTACTGAGGTCACCAGTTGCCCCCCACGGCCATGACTCCAGAGCACAGAAACCAATCTCTTAATTATCTGACTCTCAGTAGAAATACTTCCAGGGTTAAATAAGTAAAACAGCAGAAATCCAAAACCGCGCGGCTTCTATTGCGGCCACGCAACATTATTTAATTCTTGAACCCAGCTGTAGAAAGCAAATCATTTCACAACGCTTTTTCAGCATGGCTGATTTGGGGGGGGGGGGGGGCGGTAAACTCTAAATAATAATGGTGCAACTTTTATCGAAACAATGAAGCTAGTCAAAGTAGATAGAGTGTTAACTAAAATTCATCTGCCTCACAGGCCATTGGGGGGGTGGGGGGTGGGGTTTATTGGGGTTCTTCGTGGTGAAAAATAAGTATTGGTAAAAGGAAATGTGATTGATATTTGCATGACTGAGACCTAAACCTGAAAGCTTTGTAACTTTTCCCACAGCGATTCAATAAATAAATAAATTATATATAAAAAAAAAGATAATAACCCCCAGACACAGTAACAACAAAGTCTCCAATGGAGACGTTACTGGGCCCGCTCGAGCAAATAAATAAATAAATAATTAAAAAAAAAATAAAAATGCAAAAAAAAAAAAAGACGTTAGGACCTCAGTTCATTCAGGGGGAAGGAAGGGATGAAGCTCCAGCAAGCCTTGTGAGGAGGCAAATGAGCATGTGGCCCCCTTGGATAGTTCCGTGACTCCTTGGGGCCAAGCCCGGGGGAAAGAAACGCTGCGTGCGCAGAGGGAGCCAGGGCCAGTGCTGGGTGCGTCTCGGCGCGTGGAGGCCAGGGGGAGGGCTTGGGGGGAGGGGGGATCCCCTACCGTCAATGTGGGAGATGGGCAGGCTCACGTCATCGTCGGCGCCCTGCCTGCTCAGTGAGGCCTGCAGCGTGCTGGCTTCCTGCACGAAGTCGGACACTTTGTCCGTGTACACGAAGGGACTCGCCACCACGGTCAGCAGCACCTGGAGGGCCAAGGGGTCGAGTCAAGGGCAGCGCCGTGTCCCGGACACAAAACATGCATCTGCCATCAGGGTCATGCAGACCTGAACACGCACCAACTCCTTGGGATTTGATTCAGATGCTCCCTTCTCTGCTCCCGGAGGCTTCCGATCTCCTGCTGCCCACTCCCTCCCCCCACACACAGACAGGAAGGGGGGAAGGGGGCGAACAGAGGCGGGTGCGACTTCGCCTAGGGCCTGTGAGCAGGGCGACCTGCACAAGGCCCCCTCATGCTCACCCGCTCCAGGAACTGGATGACGGCTTCTCTTCGCTCGGCCGCCGTGGCATCCAGGTGCTCCAGCCACAGCTCCAGCTCCTTCCACGTGTGCTCGAACACCCCCGTGTCCCGCAGGATCTGTGGGGTGGAGGGGCACGGGCGGGTTCCCAGGAGGCTGCAGCGCTCAGGGAGCCCCGGGAGGAAGCACAGACCACGCCCCCCCCTACCTGGCACCAGGACCTGTCGGGGAGGACACAGCGGCCCCCTTCCTCCCCTGCACCGGGAGGGGCAGGCTTCAAAATGTGCCTAAGTGGGGCCTCACAGAAGCCCTGGGGAGTGAGGGGGGGGCTCCATCACGGCACCCCACGGTGTCCTGAGATGGTCTCAGCAAGAACACACCCTCCCCCAACACACATACACACGCATATGCACGCACGTGCACGTGACATACACATATCCGCGCGCGCGCACACACACACACACACACACACTCACACTCCCGTTCCCAGTGCCCCAGTGGGACCCTGTTGGTGCAGGAATCAAAACTGGGTGAAGAGCACGCGAGGCAGGAGTCTGATGTGTCTCCTCTCCAACACCAACACCGCTCCCCCCATGGCAGCCTCGGCTCGAGGGACCCCACTGGGGACGCTCACCTTGATAATCAGCAGCTTGGTGGACGCTTTCAGCTGCGCATGGGCGCTGGTGATGAACATCTTCATAAGCAAGTAGAAGACAGAGCGGTCTCCCCCGATGATCTCGGCCTCAGGGCCTTCCTGAGGGGGGGGGGGGGGGCAGGAGTGACACTGAGAGTCCCAGAGGCCCTGCAGGGCTGGAGCCACAGCACGGTGGGAAGTTGTTTGCCCCAGCACACGGCCAACTTGGGGTTTGATGCCCAGCTAGGGTTTGATCCTCTGAACCCCGCCAGGAGTGACCCCTGAGCCTCAAGACTGATTCCTGAGCACAGAGCCAGGAGTGGTCCCTCAGAACAGAGTCGGGAGTGAGCCCTGAGAACAGTCAGGAATGAGCCCTGAGCAGAGCCAGGAGTGAGCCCTGAGCACAGAGCCGGGAGTAAGCCCTGAGTACCGCCGGATGTGGCCCCAAAACAGAAACTAAGCTAAAAAAATGAACACACAGGCCAGGTGTGTCTTTGCAAGACCCCAGAAAACAGGCCGCAGCCGCTCACCCCAGCACCTCCGTGTGGGCTAACCCTAGAGTTAGCATGGGAGCTACATTGAGACTGGCATCCCCCCAGACCTCCACACCCTGACCTGATGTGCCCTGCTCCCCAGGCTGTCACCATGCCCCCCGCCCATCATAGCCCCATATACACATTCAAACTTTCCAGCAAGAAATCTGGCAAGCGTAGCAATAAAAAAGAAGAGAAAGAGTAAGAAAGAAGCTGAATGCTAAAAATAAATAAAAACTGGAGGTCAGAGCGATAATACAGAGGGGAGGGCGTTTGCCTTGCACACAGCTGATCCAGGTTCGATTCCCAGCATCCCATAATGGCCCCCCAAGCACCGCCAGGAGTGATTCCTGAGTGCAGAGCCAGGAGTGACCCCTGAGCATCGCCGGGTGTGACCCAAAAAGCAAAATAAATAAAGTCACAATGATCGTGAACTCTCTGGCGTTAAATGAAAGGGGAGAGCAGGGCAGAGGGGCCTTGCAGAAAGGAAGAGAACGTTCGAGCCCACTACGGATGCAGGCTGTTAAATGGACCTGATCGAATTCGGGGGCTTTTGGCACTATGTTCTTCAGTCCGTTAGCATTGTAGGTGAACGACTCAAGGCCATGAGAGATGGTGAGAAGTTGGGTGCTCCCAGGGGCCGGCCCGACCCTGGCTTAGCCTGACAGGCAGCAAACACAGAGCTCAGGGGACAGACACTAGGGGCTCTGGATCTGGGATCCCCTCTCCCCCACAATGCACATTAAGCCTCTGCTTTGCCAGAGTGTTCCCCGTATCCTCTGCCGAGTGGGGGACCCGGACCACAGGATGACCACAAGCAGACGGTTCCGCAGCGGTCACCACCACAAGTAAGCAACTGGATTCACCGTGTGGCTCTTGAGACTGAAACAAGGAAACATCACTGAGCACTAAAGGGCTGTGTTTAGGACGGCCTCACAGTATCTGCACTGCGAACCACAATGCCCATAAGCAGAGAGCGGGGAGGGGGGAATTGTCTGCCATAGAGGCAGGGGGAGGGGTGGGACAGGGGGGTGGGGAGGGAGGAAAACTGGGGACATAGGTGGTAGAAAATGCCCAGTGGTGGAGGGATGGGTGTTCAATCCTATGACTGAAATTCAAACATGAAAGTTTTGTAACTGTGGTTCACTGTGATTCGATACAAAATAAATAAATTTTTAAAAAAATTTTAAAAATAAAGGGCCATGTTCCTTTTGTTCTTCTCAAGAGGTGCTCAGTTAAACCTAGTTGCTACTCCAAGACATTCTCAGCCCACCAGGTGCTGCCTCTGAAGTGAGGGTCAGAGAGAGAGGGGCGGAAGGGAGGGAGGAAGGAGCAGCCCAGCCCCCCGCCCCCACCCGGTGGGGCCCCAGAACCCACATGGTGCCAAGGATGGAAGCCTGGTTAAATGCAAACCTCACTAGGGCACGATCCCTATGGGCCTGATATTATTATCCTTTGTTCTTTGTGTTGCTGATGCTGTTCTATTGTTTTTTTTTTTTTGTAAGGCGGGGGGAATGGAGGCCACACCTGGCAGTGCTCAGGCCTGACTCCTGGCTCTGTGCTCAGAGAGTCCTCGTGCAGGCTCTGGGAACAAGATGGAATGGCAGGGATCAAACCTGAGTGAGCTATGTGCAAGGCCAGCGGCCCCCTGCTGGGCTCTCTCCAGCCCCCGTCCACAGGTTCTTGGGACGACACAGACACACAAACCCGCCACCACCAGACAGTGCTGAGAGGGGATACCCAGTGTCCCCAGCAACCACAGGGCTTCCAGAAGGGCCCAGCTGGGAGAGGAGACCCAGCCCAGCCCAGCCCAGCCCAGCCCCGCCCAGCCCCACCCCTACCTGGCCCTTCAGCCACAAGAACTTGCTGGCCGGCAGCTCGAGCGCCACCTGCAGGATATGGTGCTGTAGGACAGGTGGTACCTCCGCTCGGACACCCTGCTCAGAGATGATGCCTGGGGTGGGGGTGGGGGGGGGTAACAGGATAAGGCCAGGCGCAGCCCTCCACAGGCCCAAACCCCACCTGGGCTCTATTCAGAACAACCACCCAGACAAGCCCACATGCCTGGGGAGCCCCTGCCCTGTCCCTTGGCCCACCATAACCCCCCGCCCACACCGATGGGGCAGTTCAGTGCCACAGAGGGTGGAAGGATCCCATTTCCCTTGGCCCTGTGGTCTTGGAGCAGACAAAGCCCTTTGCCCACAGGCGGTCAGCACAGCCAAGGGCCAATGGTACCCGCCAGCTCCCAGGATGGCGTTGGACAGTGGTCATGGGCTTTGTCCCTGAAGCAAAGGCAAAGGGGATGCGGCTGGCCCTACATGGGCACCGCCCACCGCCTCCGCCCGGGGACTTGGCCTCACTCGGCTCTGAGGCCTGAAGGGTGCTAAAGGCACCATCACACCAGTCAGGCACCAGGGGTGCCTCCCTCCTGCTGACACCCGGGGGTGCCTGGCCAGCACCCTCGGCTCTCCCCATCCCACGGCCGGGCCCCAGAGCCCCACCTCGGAGGAGCTTGCTGAAGTCAAAGTTGTACTGAATCACCAAGTGTGGGACCACCTTCTGGTACAGGCAGATGACCTGGAGCAGGGCGGCTTTCAGGAGGATGGTCTCGGCGTCATCTGGGCCGGTCAGGATGGCGGGGGTTAGAAAATGGGCCCCACGCTGGGTCTGCACTCCCGAAACCCAGAACTGCAGACCGGGCCCCAGGGGACGAGGGGTTGGAGGAGGGGCCGGTTGCAGGCTGTGGGCCCAGGCAGGATAGGGGACAGGACATGGCAGGGATGCCCGAATCGCCGCATCAGCATAAGCCACACAGACACAGACACAGACAGACAGACAGACAGACAGACAGACAGACAGACACACACACACACACAAACACACAGAGAGGAAGAATCTACACCTCAGCTGGAAGCCAATCCCTGTACACACAGGCACACACAGACACATACACCCACAGCGGGACCCACATCAGAGGGAGTATGGCGGGTGAAATGGGATACGGGTCTGACACGAAGGCGAGGAACTGGAGAGATGTTAGTTAAGGCATTGGCCTCACACGTGGCTAACCGGGGTTCGTCCCACCAGGCGTGATCCCCTGAGCAGAGCCAGGAGTCAGCCCTGAGCACGGCCAGGTATGGCCCCAAACATCAAGACACATAAAACCAAGCAGGGCCATAACTGGCTACGCCAGGATCGCACTCGAGGCCCTTGGCGCTACCTCGCCACCCTGAGAGTCATGGCCTCAGAGGCATGGGGCGGCCGAAAGCCTGGGCCTCCTAAAGCAAACCCCCACACCGATTCGGCCCACTGCCTCTTTACAGGAAAAAAATCCCACTCTGCACCCCCCGGAAATTCACTTCTCCATGCAGACAGAGTTCCCTAGGGTACCCATGGCTACCTCCTTCCCCTGGATCATGCCAGCACTGGGGTCCAGAGGAGGGATGAGAAGCACACCCCAAAACCCCCTCATGTTGTAATTTACAGTAATTCCACTCTGACTTTTTTTTTTTTTTTTTTTGCTCTTTGGGTCACACCTGGAGATGCTCAGGGGTTACTCCTGGTTCATGCACTCAGGAATTACTCCCGGCCATGCTCGGGGGACCACAAAGGATGCTGGGAATTGAACCCGGGTCGGGCCGCGTGCAAGGCAAACGCCCTACCCGCTGTGCTATCACTCCAGCCCCACCACGCTGACTTTCTAATAACAGCAAGTGAGGACACATCCCTGGCCAGCAAAGGCCATCCGAGGAGTGTCCGCCAAGGGTGGCCTGTGGCACGCTACCGAGAACAGGCATTGTGAGAAACACACTCTGTGTGGAGAACAGGCCCCTGTCAGACACGCTCCATGTGACTGTGTGTGGAGAACAGGCCCGTGTCAGACATATTCCATGTGACTGTGTATAGAGAACACGTCCGTGTCAGACATACTCCATGTCGGACAAGCTCCATGTGTGTCTGCATGTGTCAGCAGCATCCCACAGGCCCTTACCGTGCTGGGGAGCCACACCTGGGCCCGCACCCTGCTCGCCCTTTTGCTTTTCCCGCTGGTCGTCCTGTTTCGCCTCATGCTTCACCAGTGACTGCCAGACCCACACAATAGTGTTGAGATCTGGAAAAATCTAGAAGGAAAAATTTAAAAAGAAACAGTCATATTATATTGTGAAGAAAAACTGAGGAAAGAAAAAACAGAGAAGAGGCAAAAGCTTCTGGGGGTGTGTGTTAAGGTATTTATGGGGGGGGCACTCGGGAAGGTGTTTGCACACGTCAGTATGTGTGAGGTGTGAGGATTTGAGTGTGTGAGAATGTGTGTGAGGGCATTTGCATGCAGTGTGGTGCAGTTGTGGGTTGCAGATGTGAGAATGTTTGTGTATATATGTGTGTGGAGGTGTGAGGGTGTTTATGTGCGTGAGTGAGCCCATTTACGAGGATGTCTGTGGGTACGTGTGTGGGAGTGCGGATGTCTGTCCATGTGTGGGGAGGCGTGAGGGTGTGTGTGTCTGCGTGTGTGGATGTGGATGAGAGGGTGTATGTAACCATGAATGTGAGTGTTTGCGTGAGTGTGTCTGTGGGAGCTTGAGGGTATTTGTGTGTGGTCTTCTGTGTGTGCCTGTGTGTGGGACAGTATGTGTGTCTGTGGGTGTGAGGGTGTTTGTGTGTGGTTGTGTTTGTGTGTGTCTGTGGGTGTGAGGGGTGTTTTGTTACGTGTGAGGGTGTCTGTGTGAATATGGGTGTGGGGGTGATGGTGTCTGTGGGAGTGAGGGCGTTTGTGAGCATGAATGTGAGTGTCCGTGAGTGTGAGGGGGTGAAAGAGAGAGAGAGAGAGAGAGAGAGAGAGAGAAAGAGAGAGAGTGTGTGTGTGTATGTGTGTGTGTGTGTGTGTGTGTGTGTAAGCATGCACACAGATGAGTCTGAGTGGGTGGAGCATGTGCAAGAGCTGATGCTGACAGCGAGTGGATGAAAGCCTGGACAGAAGTGAGACAAGGCTGTGCTTGTGAGGACAAACCTGCATCCCAGGAAACTGCTCTCCTGGGGTCCCCCCCACCCCAGCAGACATGGCCTGGGGGAGCAGTAGGCCCACAGGGGGGCCAAATGAGCCGCGGCGGGCTCAGCTCTAACTCGGTCCTCAGGGCAAGGGGCCTCTAGCCTGTTGGCTTCCCTGGCGCCCACCTTGCTCAGGGCTTCCCGGAAGAGGCGCACGAAGTCATCCATCATGGAGGCCGAGTAGAGGCCAGACGCCGGCCAGCCCTCACTGCTCTGGCAGAACTCCACCGTCTTCAGGGCACGCCTCAGGATCCCCAGCAGCAGGGACAAGGCTGTGTGCTTCACCGCCCTGCTGTCCAGCTGGGAAGACAAGGGGCACCCGCCGCGGTCAGGCTCCGGGTGCGGGAGGTGGTCCCAGAGCAAGGCTTGGCCCGAGAGAAGGTTCTGGAAGCGGGGCGACCGCTTACGTTGAGGGCCTGGGTGAACATGGTCTTGTTGCACACCAGTGGCGCTGTGGTCACCATCACCATGGCCAGCAGCCGGGGCAGCGGGATGAACTCGCGGGTCTGGAAGGCGCGGGAGATGTCGGGCTGGGCCTCGTAGATCTGCGGGAGATGGGCAGGATCGGGAGCTGGGTCAGGGGAGAGGGGGCGGGCGCCCACTAGAGACCGCCCCCCTCCGGCCCGCTGGCAAGGCCCTTCTCGCCACCCGTCCCACCCGCCGTCCACCAGCCCGGGAGATGACAGGTCCCTGGACCGGCTCAGCCTGCAGCCCCACACCCAGCCCCCCGTGGACTCCCCGTGTGGCCATGCCCACCTTGCTCAGCAGCCGGATGTTGTTGGTCCACGCGGCCTGGGCACGCGGAAGGAAGGAGAACGTCACCTCCTTGAAGTACTTGTTGAGCAGGTCGGGGCACACACGCAGGATACTGACCACCAGCTCGGCCACCAGCTCGTCAGCCGGCGCCGTCTTCAGACCGAGCAGCAGATGCAGGAGCGTGAGGTTGCCGCCTCTGGGGGAGAGTGGGGCTCAGAGGTGCTGGGAAGTCCCTGCCAGCCCTGCCACCTCCACCCCCCCCCCACCCCCCCGCTGCCAGCACCCCCTGCTGGGTGTTGAGGAAGAGGATGAAGAGGGACTCCCCCTGTCCCCTGCCCTCTGCTGCAGAGTCAGGCTCAGGACACTTCCGAGGGGCTGTGTTGATGTCATGTGAGACCATGTGTGCAGGTTTCTGCACACAGTGTGGAACCAAGCAAGGACGTCCGTGTACACCCGTGTGGGGGTATGAGGGTGTCTGTGGGCATGAATGTGAGCTCCTGTATGAGGATGCCTGGGGGTGCATGTGCGGGTGAGGGTGTCTACGTGTGACTGTGGGTATGAGGGGGTTTGCTTGTGTAGCTATGGGTGGTGTGACTGTGTGGACGGTGTTTGCACGCAGGACTGTGAGGGGCTGAGACTGTGGGGGTGCAGGTGCGTGCATGTGCAGTCGTGTGGGGATGTGAGGGTGTGTGACCGTGGTGGGTGTTTGTGTGAGTGTGTGTGACAATGTGTGGATTCATGTGACTGTGAAGGGGTGAGATTGAGGGTGTGTGTGAGGGTGTTTGCATGTGTAGTTAAGGGGGGTGCAGGTATCTGTGTGTGTGGCTGTGGGGGGTGAGGGCGTGTAACTGTGGGCCTGAGGGTGTTTGTGTGAGTGTGTGTGACAGCATCTGCATGTGTGACTGTAAGGGGGCGAGATTGCGAGTGTGAGTATGTTTGTGTGTGAGGGTGCTTACATGTGTAGTTGTGGGGGGGGGTGAGCGTATCTATGTGTGTAGCTGTGGGGGTGAGGGTGCATGACTGTGGGCCTGAGAGTGTTTGTGTGCGTGAGTCTGACAATGTGTGTGTTGAGTGCAACTGTCGGGGGTGTGAGTGTGTGTGGCAACATTTGCGTGTGTGACTGTGAGGGGGTGAGATTGTGAGTGTGAGGGTGTTTGCGTGTGTAGCTATGGGTGGCGTGAGTGTGACAGTGTCTGCATGTGTGACTATGGGGGGAGGTGAAATTGTGGGTGTTTGTGGGTGAGGGTGTTTGCATGTGTAGTTGTGGGTGGGGTGAAGGTGCCTGTGGGTGTTGTGTATGACAACACATGAATGTGAGGTTGTTTGTGAGGATGTTTGCGTATGTAATTAGAGGGGTGAGGGTGTCTGTGTGTGTGACTGTGGGGAGTGAGGGTATGTGAGTGTGGGCCTGAGGGTGTTTGTGTGAGTGTGTCTCACACTGTGTGTGCATGTGACTGTCAGAGGATGTGAGTGTGTGTGACAGTGTCTGCATGTGTGACTCTGAGGGGCTGAGATTGAAAGTGTGTGGGTGTTTGTGTGTGAGGGTGTTTGCATGTGTAGTTGTGAGCAGGGTGAGGGTGTCTGTGTTTGTGACTGTGGGGGGGTGAGGGTGTGTGACTGAGCATGAGGGGGTTTGTGTGAGTATGTGTGACAATGTCTGCATGTGTGATTGTGGGGGTGAAATTACGGATGCTTTTGTGTGAGGGTGTTTGCATGTATAGTTGTGGGGGGTGCGGGTGTCTCTCTGTGTGGCTGTGGGGGGTGAGGGTGTGTGACTGTGAGTCTGAGGGTGTGATGTGTGTGTGACAATGTGTGTGTGACTGTGAGGGGGTGAGACTGCAAGTGTGAAGATGTTTGTGTGTGAGGGTGTTTGTGTATGTAGTTGTGGGCGAGGTGCGGGTGTCTGTGTGTGGCTGTGGGGGTGAGGGAGTCTGTGTGTGTATGATAATGTCTGCATGTGTGACTGTGGGGGGTGAGTGTGACAGTGTCTGCATGTGTGACTGTGAGGGGCTGAGACAGCAAGTGTGAGTGTGTTCATGTGTGAGGGTGTTTGCATGTGTAGTTGTGGGGAGTCTCTGTGTGGCTGTTGGGGTGAGGGTGTCTGTGTGTGTGACAATGTCTGCGTGTGTGACTGTGGGGTGTGTGTGTGTGTGAGATGGTGTTTTGGGCACAGAAACGAGGCTCTGCAGGAGGGCGCCCGGCCAGGGTGGCCCCTGAACCTGAGAGAGAACGCACGGCTTCCTGTTTACCAACCTCACGTCCGACTTGGGGGGGTTGTTATTGGCTGGGGGCCACACCTGGCAGTGTTCAGGGGTTCCTCCTGGAAGGGCTCAGGAGACCACGCCAGGTACCAGGGCTCGGACCCAGGTGAGCCACATGCCAGGCGAGCACCGTGCCACCGCGCTCTCCAGCTTCCTTTCCAGCCTTCCTCCTGCCAAGTGCCATCCCAGGCAGGCACCGGGAATGCCAAACACACCAGCCTCCCAGCACATTTCCGGCTCAACCAACCGACAAGCAAACCCACACGCCTGGGGTGAGGAGCTGTCACCCAAAGCCGGGGCAAAGGGACAGCGGCAAGGGATGATGGGGCATTTCAGAGAAGGACCACCAAGGAACGCTTCCTGGAGGAAGTGACCTCTTCGGGGAAAGAGGGAGGGAGAAAGGGAGAGAACAACGGAAGGATCGGAAACCGCATGTTTCCACTCTCTCAAAGCGTCCCACCAACACCCCCACAAACACTGTATCCTTCCTCTCCCTAAGCACAAACTGTTTGTCTGTTGCCCATGGTGGCAAAACTTTTTACTAATCCAAATTCTACGCGCACATACCCACATGGACAGGCTGATTCAACGTCCTGCTTCAACAGGGCTCTCCCCAGGGAGGGAAACGCATGTTTGTTTTTTTTTTTTTTGCTTTTTGGGTCACACCCGGCAATGCTCAGGGGTTACTCCTGGCTTTGCACTCAGGAATCACTCCTGGCGGTGCTCGGGGGACCATATGGGATGCTGGGGATCGAACCCGGGTCGGCCATGTGCAAGGCAAACGCCCTACCTGCTGTGCTATTGATCAGCCCCCGAAACACATGTGTTTTAAGCCTCGCATCGTATTATACAAGACTGGAAAAGCCCATTGCTGTATTTGAGCAGGAAACGTATTCATTCTTGCCGCTAGGGGACAAGCTATACTGTCACCAACTCAAGGGCAAAGAAAAATAAAGGAAAAGAAAAGAAAAGAAATGATCTGGCAAGTTAATTCATGGAGAATAAATAAAGCTCCAGAAGTAGAAAGAGGGGCCAGAGTGATAGCACAGCAGGTAGGATATTTGCCTTGCACAGAGCCAGCCGGGGTTCAATCCCCGGCATCCCATATGGTCCCCCAAGCACCACCAGGAGTAATTCCTGAGTGCAGAGCCAGGAGTAACCCCTGACCACCACTGGGTGTGACCCAAAAAGGCCAAAAAAAGAAGTAGAAAGAATGAAAAAAGTTCCAACCACACCCTCCCCATTCTGAAGGACTCAGAACTCCTGATGGGCTGAAATGAAATCACAAAGTTGGTTCACTGATCCTCCCATCAAAATGCCAAAGGGACAAAAACCAAGGGTAACCTGGGGCAGGGGAGATAGTCCAGTGGGCAGGGCCCTTGCCTCACACACATCCGCCCAGGGTCAATCCCCAGCCCAGGGTCTATCCCTGGTACCTATGTGGTCCCCAGAGCACAAAGCCATGAGGGACCCCTGAGCATGGCTGGGGGGGCCCCCAAATGAGCAAACAAATACATCAAAGAGCTACAAGACAGAGCAGCAAACAACAGAATTCTACATAGGCTTCCATGGTCAGTTAAACAAAGGTCAGTGCCAGAGCTCGGCAGGACAAGGAAACAGGCCAACTCCGGATTTCCAAACTGACGGGATGGTGCGACTAACAACGGAAACTTCAACTGCACAAACAAAAACGGCTGGATGCAAGCTGGGGTCAGCTTAGCTCCGAGCTTGGACCGTGGAGGCCGGGTCCCGGGGGCAGAGCCGAGCCCCATGAAGAATGGGGTGAGGTCTGACATCCCCCCACGCTCTGTTCCCACTTCTGCAGGTCAGAGGACTCATCGTACCCCCGCACCCCTGGGGGGAGCGGTTGGGTCTCAGGGTCCCAGCCCAACAGCTGGATCCGGCAGACAGGCAAGTCCCCGCCCACCCCATCCCCTCAGGAAGAGATGACCGTTCACCACCGGCGCAGACGCCCCAGGTGTGCGGACACACACACTCGGGCCCCGGGGATGCTCCCCGTTACCTGCCAGAGGTGCCCAGGGTGGCGTCGTAGAAGTTGATGCCGTGCTTGAGCGAGCAGCAGAGGTCCAGGAGGAAGGTGTGCACCAGCTCCCTCACCATGCGCTTCCCCTCGGCCGCTGCGGCCGCCTGCAGGACACAAAGGGGGGCGGGGGTAGGAGGGGAGTGAGAACCCAACTCTCTTACCTCACCCCCGTCCACCTCGGTGCCAGCCAGAGTGTCCTGCGGATGTATATGACCGCTTGTTGAGAGGGGGGAGCTTGAGGCCACACCCAGTGGTGTTCAGGGCTTACTCGGGGCTCTGTGCTCAAGGATCACTCCTGGAGGGGCTCGGGGATGCAATGGGGATCAGCTGTGTGTAACACAAGCACTCTGCCTGCTGTGCTACCTCTCCAGCCTCTAGGAAGGTTTTCTGTCCAATACTTGATAGTACCCCAAACACACACCAAACACAGTAACAACAAAGTCTCACGATGGAGACGTTACTGGGCGTGCTCGAGCAAATCGATGAACAACGGGAGGACGGTGCTACAGTGCTACCCCAAACACACAGACAAACACAGACAGACACACACAGGCAGACACACACACACAGACACACACACACACACACACACACAGAGAAGAGAAAAACAGACTCAAGTAAGCCCACTGGACAAAGAAGGGACCATTATGACAATGCTAGCTGGAAATGATCACTCTGGATGAGAACTGAGTGCTGAAAGGAGGTGAAGGGACAAGGGACAAACATGAGAACCTTTTAGCACCTGTATTGTAAACCATAATGCCCAGAAGGTGGCGGGGGGGGGGGGGGGTGGGGGGGTGGGGGGGGAGGGAGGGAGGGAGAGAGAGAGAGAGAGAGAGAGAGAGAGAGAGGTGTCTGTGTCTGCGGGGGGGGGGTGAAGGGAGGGAAACTGGGCACAATGGAGATAGAGAGAGACACACAGAGAGAGACAAACACACACACACACACACACACACACACACAGAGGTCTGTAGAGGGGGGGTGATGGTAGGAAAACTGGGCACACTGGCTGTGTGAAATGTACCCAATGGGTCTTGAGACATTGTATGACTAAAACCCAATCAAGAAAGACTTTGCAACTGTGTATCTCACAGTAAAGAGGGCGAGAAAGAGGGAAAGAAAGGGGGAAAAAAGGAAAAGAAAGAGAAGAAAGAGAGAAAGAAAGAGAAAAGAGAAAAAGGAAGAAAGAAAAAGAGAAAGAAAGCAGGCAGGCTCTGGCAGGCACCAGGCAGGGGGGAGCTCACGGCCATTCCCACAGGGAGGCGGGCGCAGGAGGAGGAGCAGGAGGACCCAGAGAGAGACAGGCGGAGCAGGTGCCCCAGGAGATGAGGACAGGCTGTCCCCTGCACAGCGCCCCCCAGAGAGACGCCGAGGGTAGGGGGCTGGAGCAACAGTCCAGCAGGGAGGGCGCTGACCATGTATGCGGCCAACCAGAGTTCGACCCCCGGCATCCCACAGGGTCCCCCAAGCACCGCCAGGAGCGATTCCTGAGTGCAGAGCCAGGAGGAACCCCTGAGCCTTGCTGGATGTGAACGCCCCACACCCCTAGGGGAAAAAAAAAATAACTGAACGAGGAAATGCAATGTAATAAAGGTATGAGGGGAGACACACTTAGATCATCTCTGACCTCAGACTATATGGAGGAGGAGGACAGAGATCTCAGGAAAGAAATCCAAGGGGGAGGAAGAAGAGGAGGTAGGGAAGTCACGGGGAAGCCGGGGTCAGGGGCCCCGGGGACATCAGTCACGTGGGGGAATGGACATAGGACATAAGGACGGAGGCAGACCACAGAACAGACAACACTGACACCACAAGACCCAAACCACACCAGTACACTTCACAAGAGGCTGTGAGGGGCAGGCTGGGGTGGGGGGGGGGGGAACCTGGGGACACTGGTGATGGATCAACTACCTATAACTTTGTAAATTACAGTCCTTTAAAAACCTTCTTAGGAAAAAAGACTAGAAAAATTACGGAAATCTGGCTTGATCATATGTTAAAAACAAAACAAAAACAACCGTGAAACCCCATCAGAAAAGGGAGAAGAAAGGCTGGAGTGATACTCCAGTGGGGAGGGTATTTGCCTTGCATGCAAGGGTTTGATTCCCGGCATCCCATATGGCTCCCAGAGTACCGCCAAGAGTAATTCCTGAGTGCATGAGCCAGGAGTAACCCCTGTGCATCACCGGGTGTGACCCAAAAAGAAAAAAAAAAACCCAGAATCTAAATATCATGATATTGCAGAGATTATAAAAAAAATTATCGCTAGGAAGGAAAAAAAGAGAGAAACTTAAAACACTGCATCTAAGCTGAGAATTAACCCAACCAGACATGGGTCGGGTCATGGGTCAGGAGGCAAATGATAGGTTTTCCCCTCCTAGCCTCAAGGTCCCTACACACACACACACACACACACACAGGAGCACACACGTGTCATGCACACACATGCTTACACACATCACATACACACACGTCATGCACACATACAAGCACACACACATGCATCATGCACACACAGGCACACACACACACACGAACACACACACACGTGTCATGAACACACAGGCACACACCCGGCGTGTCCGACTACCGCACCTTGCCACCTTCCAGCTGCACGTCGACTACCCCGTTCCAGCTGTAGAGGGAGGCGATGTGGTTGAGCAGCTGCCCCGAGAAGAAGCGTACCTTCTGGGTCTTGGTGATGCTCTTGTTCTGGACCACCTGGCAGCAGGCAGATGCGTGATGACCGGAGGCAGTGCTGAGAAACCATGTGACCCGGGAACCAGAAAGCAACCCCAGACACTGACCTTTGTTTTCAGTGTGGACAACAAGATATTGACGGTGGAGATCCTGTCCTCCTTGATGCCCGAGCTGAAGATGCAGGGGATAAACTCTGACGGCAAAAGGGTCACAAAGAGGAAAGAAGAAAAAAACGTGTCACAGCAGCGAACTCAAAGGCAGCTTCAATGTGAAAACAGGGAAGAAGATTACTGTCAATTTTAATTTATGGCCGACCCGAGTTCGATTCCTCCGCCCCTCTCGGAGAGCCCGGCAAGCTACCGAGAGTATCTCGCCCGCACAGCAGAGCCTGGCAAGCTCCCCGTGCCGTATTCGATATGCCAAACACAGTAACAACAAAGTCTCCAATGGAGACGTTACTGGGCCCGCTCGAGCAAATCGATGAACAACGGGAGGACAGTAGTTCTCAATGATTTATTACACTTGATTTTCTAATGCTAATCCCACCACCATTACACCGTTCCACCACCATTATTCGACTTTTCCCACCACCCTCCAAGCCTGCCCCAAAGGAAGATTCTAAATAATTTATTTTGTATTGCTTGCTATGAATAATCCAATAAAAATGATCCAAAGGGGTCTCCTTAGAGGAAAGTGTGAAGATTGTTGTATCTCACCCTGAAGACACAAAGCCCTTGTATAAGAGATTAATATGTTGTTACAGATTGAGCCCTGTGTGCTAATACATACATATATACATATTTATATATTTTCTTGATCAAGATCACCTTCTAGGGGCTGGAAAAATACTACAGTGGATAGAGCATTTGCCTTGCATGCGGACGACCTGGGTTCGATTCCCAGCAACTCACATGGTCCCCTGAACACTGCCAGGAATAATTCCTGAATGCAAAGCCAGGAGTAACCCTTGTGCATCACCGGGTGGGACCCAAAAAGCCAAAAATAAAAAATCGCCTTCTTGGGGCTGGAGTGATAGCACAGCGGGTAGGGCGTTTGCCTTGCACACAGCCAACATGACCGACACAGGTTCGATTCCCAGCACCCCATATGGTCCCCTGAGCACCGCCAGGAGCAATTCCTGATTGCATGAGCCAGGAGTAACCACTGAGCATCACCGGATGTGACCCAAAAAGCAAAAAAAAAAAAATCGCCTTCTACTTATACCTCGTCAAATGTAGCATGCTACTCTTGGGACATGAGTGGCATAAAGGAAGAGCATTACTATTTAAATAGGGGGGCACACAGCACCAACCACTTTCCTGAGAGGTGAGATTATTTATTTTTGGTTTGGGGGCCCCGATTCCTCCGCCCCTCTTGGAGAGCCCGACAAGCTACCGAGAGTATCTCGCCCGCATGGCAAAGCCTGGCAAGCTACCTGTGACGTATTCAATATGCCAAACACAGTAACAAGTCTCACAATGTTACTGGGCATGCTTGAACAAATCGATGAACACGGGAGGACAGTGACAGTGACAGTGACAGGTTTGGGGGCTAAACCCAGCAAAAGCTCAGAAGTTACTTCTGGCTCTGCATTCAGGAATGACTCCTGGCGGTACTGGGGATACCCCATGGGGTGCTGGAGATCAGACCCAGGTTGGCTGTGTGTGCAAGGCCAATGCCTGACCCACTGCACTACTGCGCCAGTCCCCACCCATTGGAGAGTCTTTCCTCCTCTCATTCAGCTCGGCCACATGGCTCAGGGCTTCCTCTTGGCTCTACGCTCAGGAATCACCCTTGCTTGACCGCGGACAAGACAAACGTACTACCCACTTGCTGTACTAACAATCGCTCCTATCCCCCCTCCACCAGTGTTTCTTTCTGGCAGTGCCAGGAACCAAACCCAGGGCCTCAGACATGCTGGGCCCAGGCCCTACCATAAGCTACATCACCTAAACGGGGAAGGGGGAGAAGGACTGCAGGAAACCCAACAGACAGACACACACAGAGTGAGACTCACAGACACACACAGACACAGGCATGCATGCACACTTGGTTCAACATCTGCATGCACACCCCCCCCCCCCCCGAAAGACACACACACATGCATGCACACATACCTGGTGAGATACACACCCAAGTGCACCCCTGGTGAGATACACCCCACACACAGACCCAGTGAGATACACACACTCACACACACCTGGTGATGTACACGCACACCCGGTGAGATACACACACACATGCGGACACACACACACCTGGTGAGATACACATTTGTGCAAACCTAGTAAGATACACACATATACACAAACACATACACACACACACGGTGAGATACACATTCATGCAAACCTGGTGAGATACACACACACACTCATGCACACCCAGTGGGATACACCTGGCGAGGCACACACACACAGCCGTCTCAGAGACTGCTGCTGGCAAGTACAGGTGTGGGGGAGCCCCCCCGGAGCATCTCCCCACAGCCTGGCAGCCCAGGACACCCACCTTTCAGCTCCAGCACCTGTACCACTGTGCTGGTGTCGCCTGTGACGAGGAAGGAGAGTGCAAACTGGATATAGGCCTGCCGGACGTCAGGTGCCCCCTGCGAGACAAAGGAGAGAGCATGTGCGTGTGACATTCCCCTCCCAAAGCCGGAGAGCAGCGCCACAGCGGCCAGGCCCATCTGCCCACCACAGATATTGGGCGCGGCCAGCCCTGATAGCCACAGCTGCTGCTGCAGCTCCTCCTCCAGGACGAGGGCATCCTGAGCCTGCCGGGAGTGAACCCTGGGAGGAGCCAGGAGTGACCCTGAGTGCAAAGCCAGAAGTCAGCCCTGAGCACAGAGTATGGAGTGAGCCCTGAGCACAGAGTCGGAAGTGAGCCCTGAGCACAGAGCCGGAAGTGAACCCTGAGCACAGAGCCAGGAGTCAGTCCTGAGCACAGAGCCAGGAGTCAGCCCTGAGCACAGAGCCGGGAGTCAGCCCTGAGCACAGAGCCGGGAGTCAGCCCTGAGCACAGAGCCAGGAGTGAGCTCTGAGCACAGCCAGGAGTAATCCCTGAGCACAGAGCCAGGAGTGATCACTGAGCACAGAGCCGGGAGTCAGTCCTGAGCACAAAGCCAGGAGTGATTGCTGAGCACTGCCGGGTGTGGCCCCAAAACCAAAAAAAAAAATTTTAGAAAATTTATAAAACCCCCAAACAAGATGAGGGGCATTTCTCTCTCCCTTCCCTCCCTCCCCTCTTCAAGCTCCAAAGACAGGCCACACAGTACCAGCCTCCTCAGGAAGCTGTCTCTGGACTCTTTCCCGCCTCGGCCCCTCCCTGCACAGTGCTCATGAGGTCGGGCCACCAGTGGGATCTGGGCCACATCACAAGTCTGTGCTGTGGGGCATAGGAAGGCACAGTCTGTGACTGTGGAAGCCGGTGACACTGAGCATGGCAGCGGGCACTGTCCTCGGATGTCCCCAGGAGACTGGCCCAAGGCCTCCCCCCCAACCCCCATCCCCGGATCCGGCCACCTCCCCGGAACTGGCCAAGGACCCGCACTCTGCCTTCCTGTGCCAGGCCCCTCACCTTTGTGTCCCGCTTGGTCACCAGGCCATACAAGGTCTTCTTGTTCAAATCAAAGAGGCTGGAGACGTCCCTGGCGGCTTCAGCCCCCTGGGCCACCATGGCAGTCAGTAGGTTGAGGCAGGCGCGAGCCATCCTACAGGGGCCAGGAGGGAGTGAGGGTGCCGGCCACTGAAGACGCACCATGCCACTTTGCCGAGCACAACCCCACCGTAGGGGCCGGCGCAGGACCCGGCCCAGGCGGCTGGCACCCTTGCAGTAAGACTGGTGGGAGCGAGAGCCTGGTGGGAAGGGTGTTTGCCTGGCACGTGGCCGACCCCGCTTTGCTCCCCAGCATCCCAGATGGTCCCTCAAGCACCATCAGGAATGACCCCTGAGTGCAGAGCCTGATGGGTCTATGACCCCCCAGACAAACAAACAGAACCACAAGCAGTGTGAGGTCACAGGCAGGGCTGGACCACCGGATGCTTTTTTGTTTTTGCTTTTTGGGTCACACCTGGCAATGCTCAGGGGTTGCTCCTGGCTCTGCACTCAGGAATTACTCCTGGCGGTGCTCGGGGGACCCTATGGGATGCTGGGAATCGAACCCGGGTCAGCCATGTGCAAAGCAAACGCCCTCCCCACTGTGCTATCGCTCTTGCCCCAGCAGATGCTTCTCCACTCAGGGCTCTGTGCTCAGGCCGTCGGGGGGAGGTGGAGCTGGTGTAGCAACTGTGGCTGCTGGAGGCCTCTAACCGGGGGCCAGAGGACAGAGGAGGGGACGTGGTGGCCCCCGAGAAGTCACTTCTCAGAGGGGGCAGGCAGTGGCGGCTGAGGGAGGGCCATGGCCGGCGCCCACCTGTAGCCCGAGGCATACAGGGCCTCGCAGAGCAGCTTCATGTGGCTGTTGAGCAGTTTCTTCACAATGCCAGTGCCCGCCATGTGCAGGTGCGCCAGGTCGCTGGCTGTCCGCAGCAGGATGGCCTCCAGCGCCTGGAAGACCAGCAGCATCTGCGAAGCCGGAAGGGAAGACGTGCGTGAGCCTGGGGCCCTTCCCCTGGCAGGCGCCACTCGCCTGGGCCCTGAAGTCCCCAAGCCCCTCCGCCACCCTACCATCCCCTGAAACACCCGACCCCAGTGTGGGTAAGGGGCCGCCCCGGACTCAGCGGGCTCGTGGATGGAGCCAGCTACTGCCCCTCACAATCGAAAGGAAAGTGATATTTCTGTTCAAGATGGGGCCTCCTTGAGGTCATGGGGGTTCAGTGTGCCACTCCGCAGCGGCAGACCCCGAGATTCCAAACGCCACATCCTGGATCTCTCTAGAACCAGAAAACCATCTCCCCAGCCTCCACCTTTCGCCCTCGCCCTCCACCTCTGTCCTGCATAGTCCCACATTCTTCCTCTCCCCCTCCCCCCTCCTCCCCATGGCAGAACAGCCCCAAAGCACAAAGACACATAATCGATGCTCTGGGCCCAGGAAAGAGAGAACACAGGGGTGAAGGTGCTTGCCTTGCACGTGACGGGCCCTAGTTGAATCCCCAAAAGCATGAGGGACCCCTCCTGTACCCGCCTCCCACAGCCCCCAGCACCACCAGGGGACCCACCTCGAGTACAGAGCCCGGAGGAGCACCCTCGGCAGTGCCAGAAGTGACCTCCAAGCCCAAGATAATTAAACAAGAAACAGAAGCTGGAGTGACAGTGTATTGTGGGTAGGGTGCTCCTCACACGTGGCCAACCAGGCTTTGCTCCCTGTCACCCCGGGATGGTCCCCAGAGCCCCGCCGGGAGTGATCCCCCTCCGCCACCCCCTCCAGTACAGAGCCAGGATAAAAGCCCTGAGCACTGCCAGCTGTGGTCCCCAAGACCAAAAAAATAAAAAAATAAATTAAAAAAGAAAAAGAAAAAAATAAAATAAAAGAATCTCCACTTTTCCCTTCTGCTATGTGTCACTCCCTCTGGCGTGGCTCTCGGCACGTGACGTGGCAGCTGGGGACAGCACAATGGTGCCTCTGGCTGGAACATGGGAGTCAGTGGCCACTCCAGCCACTGGGGACTGAGCATAGCTCCCACCACCCCCCATGTGCCCACTTCCAAGGGTGCTGGGGGAGGATGGGGAGCAGCCAGACCTCGCTTTCAGGACGTTTCTCCCCGCTCAGGAGCTGGAAGATCTCAGTGCACTCCACGGAGATCTTGATGTAGCCTTCCACCACGTCGTACACATCTTCTCGTGGAAGCTTCTTGGCAGCTGACACAAAGGCTTCCAAGGCTGGAAGAGAGTCACGTCCAGGGTGAACCAAGACCGGCTTCTCAGCCGGACCCCAGCCACGCCTGCCATCAGTGGCCCTAAGTGGATTCCCCCCACCCCCCCCGACTGCATTCCAATGTTGGAGCCCTAACTCCCGACCTCGCTGCCTGAGGGGAGGTCAGGCTGAGGTCCCAGATCGACGTCAAGCCCTGCAGGACCCCGTGGAACTTAGGGAAACAGGAAGAAGCAGCAGAGGTTCAAGCACGCGAGGGCCCCGGGCAGGTGAGGCCTCCGCCCACAGCAAGAGCCAAACCAACAACACTCAGACCCTGGATTGTGAGTTACAGAGCCATGAGACCACCAGTCTGGTCTCTGGGCCAGAGGGGGACCAGCTTCCATGCTGGGAGAGAGTGGGGAGCTCGCTATGGGGGGTGTCAGGAGGGAAGGTGACCGACGTTTCAAAGCTCCGACAGAAGCTGATGGGCTGGGATGCGGGAGCATGAGAGGAGACAGAGGGAGGCTCTGGGAGCCATGAGATGAGGGAGAGCCTGGGCAGGAATCTCCAGGAATAAATAGTAGGCTGGACTTGCGGCTGGCAAAGACGGGGAGGGTAAGAGGCACAGCAAAGCCTCTTCCCCAGCGCCGGTGGGGTCATGAGCAGTCACAGAGCTTCCTTGATGCCCCCTACATTCAGGGGCACAGTCAGAGAGCGGGTAAAGAAATCAGGCTACATGCATGCACACAGTGGGGGAAAACCACATCACTCAAAAGGAGAGAGAACAAAAGGGAATGCCTGCCACAGAGGCAGGGTTGGATGGGGAGGATGGGGGGGTGGGAGGGAATACTAGGATCAGTGGTAGTGGAGAATGGGCACTGATGGAGGGATGGGTACTTGATCACAGAATAACTGAAACCCAAACACAAAAAAAAAGCACAGTTCAACCAAGAAACAGGGAAGAAGCCGGGCTTTTGGGGGAGTGCATGAAGAACAAAAGATACATACATCTACACCATCTCACCTGTATCAGGGCGGTAAAAAAAAAAAAAGCCAAACTCACAGCAGAGAGTAAGAATGGAGGGCAGGGCCTCTAGGGTGGGGGGTGGGGGGCTGGAAATGGGAAGAAGTGGTTAGGGGTGCAAATGATCGACCTGAGCGATTTCTGGGGGCTGATGCCATACCATGGGTGAACGTTAGGAGCAGGGCTGTGCTACGGAACAGAAAGCCACCCCTAGCAGAGGTGTATCCAGCGACAATCCAGTGCTGCGGGGCAGAGGTGCTAAGTGAGCTCAGGGTGGGGATCATGGTACACCCGTTGCAATCACAGGCAGCCCACTGACACAGCCGGGCTCTCATGAAGCCCAGGTATGGGGAGGCTGCCCTCCCACCTGGGCCAAGATAATCACAGTCTGTGTCTGACAAAAAGAACCTAGTGGTCAATTTCTTTTCCCTTTTAATTTTATTTTTCTTTTTCCTTTTTTTTTCCCAGTAGCACAAATACATTTATTTAATAAGCAAAAGGAGGATGCTGATTGAACCAACTCTTTAAAATAGGTGCACGGCTCAGATAGAGAAGGGAGCACCAAATAAAGGGTGTTGGGAGGATCCTCCCAGGATGGAAAATGCATGCTGAAAGTAGACCATAGACTGAACATGATTGCCACTCAATTCCTCTTTTGCAAACCAATCCACCCAAAAGGAAAGAGAACAAAAGGCCCTGCCACAGAGGCAGGGTGGGATGGGGGGGGGGGGGTGGGGGGGGAGGGATACTGGGATCATTGGTGGTGGAGAATGGGCACTGGTGGAGGGATGGGTACTCGATCATTATATAACTGAAACCCAAGCACAAAAATTTATAAGTCTACAACTGTACCTCATGGTGTTTCACTAATAAAAATTTAAAAATAAATAAATAAAATAAAATAGGTGCATGTCAGAAAGAAATAGCACAACAGGGAGGGCGCTTGCCCCACCAGGAGTGAGCCCTGAGTGCGAGGCCAGAAGTAGGCTTGAGCACCGCCGGGTGTGTGCCTCCCAAAACTGACAAGGAGCAAGCAAGCAGGCAGGCAAACTCTCTTAGAGCCCCCAGGCAGAGCAGACTCTGAACTAGAACCATCGGCGAGCTGCAGGGTGAGGATGCAGGCGGGACAGGGGCGGCGACAGTCCATCTACTGTCCTGACCGCTGCGATCAGGTGGTGAGGGGCTGCAGGTTTGCAGAGGGGCAGGGAGGGGAGGGCGCAGGGAACTGGACACTCTTAACCACGAGGCCAGTCTGAGCGCTTCGGGTCCCTGAGGGCTCAGGAGATGCAGGAAAAAGCGGCTGGAAATCCTGCGGAGGCCGGCGGGTGGGCGGGTGGGTGGATGGTGATGAGGGCGGGAAGGGGGTCCCCTGGGCACCCATGCAGCGACACACCCAGAGCCCACCTCGACCCCGGCGGGGTGCAACTCACCAGTTCCCGCGCCCTGCGGGTCCCGGAGCTGCGCCTTAAAGCGCACGCCGGTGAACTCTTCCTTGCGGGCCCGCTTGGCCGCGCCCGCCGGGGACGCCTCGCCCTCCGGGTCCTTCCTCTTGCGGACCCCCATGGCGGAGATGCAGCGGGTAGCGTGAGGATCCGCACACCTGGGTTCCAGGCACAGGATGCGCTACGGAAGGGACCAGCGGCCCCAGGGCCCCACACACACGTGCGCAGGAAGGGGCGGGGCACAATGCGGAAGTATGGCGGAAGAGGCGGGACTGGGGGCGGGGCCTGGGTGAGCTGTGCTGTGGCTGCGAATCTAGGTCCCTGCAGATTCAGCTTACTGTGTGTGTGTGGTCCACATCCAAAAGAAAGAGAATAACCAGTGCTAGCCCAGATGCGGGGTCGAAAGGACCTCTCTCCTTCATTGTTGGTGGGAATGCCGGCTGATCCGGCCTTTTTGGAAAACAATATGACATTCCTCCAAAAACTAGAAATTGAGCTTTCATAAGACCCCGCAATACCACTTCTGGGAATATGTCCCGGGATGCAAAAAAAAAGCACAGTAGAAATGACATCTGCACCTGTATGTTCATTGCAGCTCTGTTCACAAGAGCCAGAATCTGGAAATAAACCGAGTGCCTGAGAACAGACGACTGGTTAAAGAAACTCTGGTACATCTACACAATGGAATATTATGCAGCTGTTAGGAGAAATGAAGTCATGGAGTTTGCTTATAAGTGGATGGACATAGAGAGTATCATGCTAAAGTGAAACGAGTCAGAAAGAGAGGGACAGGCATAGAAGGACTGCACTCATTTGTGGAATATAAAATAACATAATATGAGACTGACACCCAAGGACAGTAGAGACAAGGGCCAGCAGGATTGCTCCACGGTTTGGAAGCCTATCTCATGTCCTGGGGGAGAAGGCAGCTGGGATGGAGAAGGGATCACTAAATCAACAGTGGTTGGAGGGATCACTCAGGATGGAGATGTGTGCTGAAATTAGATAAAGAACCAAACATAATGGCCTCTCGGTATCTGTATTACAAACCATGACACCCTAAAGTAGAGAGAGAGTAAGAAGGAAGGTAGGTGCCTGCCACGGAGACAGAGGGTAGGCTGGGGTGGGGGTGGCGGGAGGGACACTGGGGACACTGGTGGTAGAGAATGTGCACTAATGGAGGAATGGGTGTTCAATCATTGTATGACTGAAACTCAATCATGAAAGCTGTGCAACTGTATCTCACAGTCATTCAATAAAAAATAAATTGAAAACAAAAAAGGAGTGAGCCGTGGCCACTGACCCCACTGACCCACCTGCGGCCTGGGCCGAGGGGTCACCATCACACATGTGCCTGGTCACAGCGGAGAGGAACCCATCTGTACAGGCTTCCTGACCCTAACAGCCCTGTCGAGGGGCACCCAGGTAGGGAGAGCACTCCTGTCGGGCACGCACTCTCACACTCACCTAGGGTTTTTCCTTTTTTATTTTATTTAGAGCCATGCTTTATTATAGATACTGACGGTTGAATTTTAGACATGTTCTAGCACCCGTCCCACCCCTAGTGACAGCTTCCCTCCACCAGAGTCTCCAAGACTGGGTCCCACTGATGTAGGCAGGTAGATAGGGAAAGGCTCTCTGCAATGAAACAAAGTCTCATAGAAGAATTCTAGGACCAACCCACCCTGTGGAGACAGAGAATAAGGACTTGATAAGACTATCCCCAGACCCTGAAGATATGGGCCTCCTCCCCATGAAATTCCTCCTTTCCGAGAACCCCCTTCAATCCGGTTGACTCCAGCGACCCAGCCCCAAGGTGATTCCAGGACATTCCAAGTCAGATGATTCTCGAACCCCTTTTCAATCCGGTTAACTCCAGCGACTCAGCCCCAAGGAGATTCCAGAACATTCTGAGTCAGAAGGATCTATAAGAACCAGCTCGAGAGCCCACTTGGCGCTCTCTCCACCCTCGGAGAAGCCCGCGTTCCCTCTGGACGCGTTACTCTCTCTCTTACTCTCCATTCCCCCGTTTATCTGCTCATCCCTTTCTCTCCCTCTCTAAAAGCCTCCAAATAAAACCTGTTACTTCACTGCTCGTCTACTCCTGAAATTCTTTTCTGCGAGCGAGACAAGAACCCCAGAGACCTCGGGTAAGGCTTGGGACTGGTCTCTCCTTTCCTGCAAAGAGCAAATTCTCGCCCCAGCTTGAGTCCGTGGCTCCCCGAGCAATCGGGTGGCGGGGATTAACTCCCGTGCTGAGAAGATCAAGCGGACTTCAGGTGTGGCTTGACGGCCACCTTGTGGGGCTGGCGGGGCTCAGGCCCGTGCCGAGCAGGTGCTCACTGCAGACTTTACCAGTCCTAGCCTACCCAGGGTTCCGGGTGGCAGAGGCGGGTGGGGAGAAAGTGGCTGTCTTTCTCCTCCCCACTTCACATAAGTCACCCGTGGGGCCCACCGACATCACCACCCCCACGCCCAGCCTGGCACCGGGACAGGCTCATTTTTTGTTGTTGTTGTTTTGTTTTGGCATCATATCCAGCTGTTACTCAGAGCTTACTCCTGACTCTGTGCTTAATGGTCACTCCCGTGGGGCTTGGAGGACCATACGGGACTCAGGGATGGAACCTGGGTCATTGCTTCGTGCATATCCTACCCACTGTACTATTTGCTCTGGCCCCAGACAGGCAGATTTTAAAGTTTGGTTGTTGTCGTTTGGAGATCACATATGGTTTTGTTGTGCTGGTTGTTTGTTTTTGCTGTTGTTGTTTTTTTTTTTCTTTTTGGGTCACACCCGGCACTGTGCAGAGGTTACTCCTGGCTCTGCACTCAGGAATTACTCCTGACGGTGGTTGAGGGGACCATATGGGATGCTGGGAATCGAACCCGGGTTGGCTGTGTGCAAAGCAAACGCCTGCCTGCAGTGCTATCGCTCCAGTCCCTGTGCTGGGTTTTTGAATTTTGTTTTTGGTGTGTGTGTGTGTGTGTGTGTGTGTGTGTGTGTGTGTGTTGGAGGTCTGTGGGTTTTTTTTTTTTTGAGTGGGACATACCTGGTGTGCTCAGGAATCACTCCAGGCACGGAAGGGGGAACCGTATGAGGTGCTGGCGGGGAGTGGAGGGGGAATTTAACCCAGGTCAGCTGCACTTGAGGCAAGCACCTTACCCCTGGACTATTCACCTCTCCAGCCCCAAGCCACATGTTTTGTTTGTTGCTTTCTTTTTTTTAATTTATTGCTTCCATTGGGGTACTTGGTTGAGGATGGAGAATCATGATTTTATTTATTATTTATTTATTTATTTATTTATTTGCTTTTGGGTCACACCTGGCGATGCACAGGGGTTACTCCTGGCTCTGCACTCAGGAGTTACCCCTGGCGGTGCTCAGGGGACCATATGGGATGCTGGGAATCGAACCCGGGTTGGCCGCATGCAAGGCAAACGCCCTACCCGCTGTGCTATCTCTCCAGCCCCGTTGTTTGTTGCTTTTTGGGAATTTTTTTCTTCCCTTTGTTTTTTTGGGCCATGTGCAAGTGTGCTCAGGTGTTACTCTGTGCTCGGGATCATGCCTGGCAGGGCTCAGGGGATCATAGGGGGTAGAATCCAGGTCAGCTGTGTCCAAGGCCAGCACCCTGTCCCTTGGACTGTCTCTCCAATCCTCCAAGTCACATGTTTTTCAACATGGCCTCCTGGAGTGGTGGGAAAACCTGCTGGATGCACAGAGTTGCTTTGCCGTATGCGTGTTGGCTGCAAGAAAGGGTGGATGGCCTTGGTACCAGGCTGGAGGTGCTTTTTTCCCACGCCCCATCCCCACCCTAGGCTAAAGCCATACCCTGAACCAGAGGGGCATGTCTGAAGGGCAGCAGCCTCCACCCTGCTTTTCTGGTCCCCTTGACTGATGGAGAATCAGCCTCCCTTTGGCCATGCGGCGGGTGGGGGAGGGTGGAGAGGGTCAAATTAAGCAAAGTCTGCAAAGACCAACGTGCACAGGACATCGGTGCCACCTGGATGTTCTTGTCGTTAATATGTAGACAGCATCTCCCTAGCACATCCTCGCTGGGATTCTGAGCTGAGAAAGTGATGATGCAATGTATTAAAAACAAAACTGTTTTAAAAGAGGTAAGTGGCAAGAAGAAGTACCATGTATTTTTATCAGAAGTCATCTGTTGGGTTGAAAACCACATTTAGTGCTCTGAAAGCTAATGGAGGGAATGTGTGGGTTGTTCTGTGGTTGAGAAATGAATCAGGGAAGGCAGGCTGGCGCCTTTTTAAAATTACGACTCCATCGGTATCAGGCGTTGCATTCAAATAAATCATGTTCTTTGGATGAGTTAACGTGGTGATCCTGGAATTCTCTGTTGGACCAGCCTCGGAGGAAATACTGACCTATGTCTTGTATGCGGATGTGTGTAGGGAGCGTCTGAGGGTGTGGATTTATTGGGGTTTCAGTTCCGGCAAGAAAAAGCCCCTGGCCTGGAGATGGGTGCTGTGAAGAGGCGCGTGAGGGAGCTGGAGCAGAGGGAACCTGTGAGCTGGGCAGCCTTAGGCAGGGCTATGCCACACTTCTGGTTGTATAAGGGGCCCCTTGGAAGCAAAGGCAGACACTGACTTTTTTTTTTTAATATAGGATTACTGCTATTTATTCAGTCATTGAATAAGCTGATTGAATTGGGCATGAACTCACTCCACATTCCTTTTTTTTAAATTTTTATCTCTTTTACTGAATCAGTGTGAGATACAGTTACGAAACTTTCATGTTTGAGATTCAGCCTTACAATAATTGAACACCCATCCCTCCACCAATGCATACTTTCCACCACCAATGTCCCTCCACACACACATCCCAGTCCTCACTCTGTGCCCGTGGCAGGCAATTTTCCCAGTACACTCTCTCTACTTTTGGGCATTAGGGTTTGCTCAAATTTTCCCACCACCATTCAAGCCTGCTTGCCAGGGGCAGATGCTAGATCACTTATTGTCCACTGCTCATCCTGAATATCATGGGAGCCGCGCCCATGCACTTCTGGAATCCTAGATGGCAAATGGTTGGGTTCTAGAGACGTTTCTGTAGGGAACTAATCCATGTTGAGATTCAGCTGGGCGTCTCTGGTCCAGGGCTGTTGGTGCACTAAGATGGTGCGCAGAGGTGCTTTGTGGGACAG